TCTGAAACATATAAATGAAGATCTATATAATAAGAATCTTACACTGGCTGCCAGTACAGACCAGAAGAACATATAGGCTTAGCTAGAGGGTAACTTTTTTGCGGTAACAAGGCTTTGCGTTCCCCATAAACAGTTACCTGTGAGCTAGATACTCCCATCTGTGACCACAGCTGGTGTTCTGCTTCTTTTTCTTGCATAAAACATAATTCGGAAAGAAATTTAAAAAAATCAAATGTTCTCATTTATATTAAAATCCCTTTTTTCCTTGTCATAAATTTATGTAGATCTATTTACAACTTCAAAAATTCACTTTCATCCAACAGGTAATTTATAGCTCTGAAAGCTATAACTTATAATTACTGAGTTATTATTGACAAAATATTCCACAACACCTTGACATAACTTACAAATGTAACAAGTGAGAATTTTCATAGTTTAGACCATATGGTAACCGAAAGATATGTCCGAATTCATATCAAGTTTTCATAATTAAGTTTGGAAATGTATTTTGGAACCTTTTGAATATTAATCAATGCATCGTGTTTTTCTCATAGTTCATTTAACTGGTGGAATTTCCTAAATTCTATCTTTTGCAGCTTGACTCTGAAAAAAAAAAAACACTTTTAGTTAAATCTTATATTCACCTGTTTTAATCCTGTCTACACGCCGTACTATATCAGTGTGGACGGACGGCGCTAAAACAAATAACGTATACGGTAATGAAGCAAAAATTTATTTGTGATACGATTAAGGTTTTTATATCTTCTTCTTTTTTAAATTTATTGATTCAATATTTATTCAAATAACATTGGTGTTAATCAATTTCATATATTAGTACATACATTGTGTCCATTTTCCAAAATTATCTCCGTGTGCCATGAATTTCCATTTCGCCAGGCATATATAACCATATACATTTTATGAAACATTTTAAAACATACTTACTTAATAGTGCTAAACAATCATTTTAGATGCTCAAATAAAGCATATTGACTTTAAAAAGGCGTTGTGTCGATTTTTCTATAGCAAAAAAATCTCCGTTGCGCCATGAAATTTCCATTTCGCCAGGCATATAACCCTATATGTATACATTTTATGAAACATTTTAAAACATACTTACTTAATAGTGCTAAACAATCATTTTAGATGCTCAAATATAGCATATTGACTTTAAAAAGGCGTTGTGTTGATTTTTCTATAACAAAAAAAAATCTCCGTTGCGCCATGAAATTTCCATTTCGCCAGGCATATAACCCTATACATTTTATGAAACATTTTAAAACATACTTACTTAATAGTGCTAAACAATCATTTTAGATGCTCAAATATAGCATATTGACTTTAAAAAGGCGTTGTGTCGATTTTTCTTTAGCAAAAAAATCTCCGTTGCGCCATGAAATTTCCATTTCGCCAGGCATATAACCCTTCAGTGCAATTAAACATATACAATTTATGAAACATTTTAAAACAAACTTACTTAATAGTGCTAAACAATAATTTTAGATGCTCAAATATAGCATATTGACTTTAAAAAAAAATGCGTTGTGCCGGATTTTCTAAGAAAAATCTTCGTTGCGCCCGTAACGGTTGCGTCCGTTGCGTCTAGCGCCAGAAAATCTCCGTTGCGAATTTGAGTGGTACCCGCAAAAGTAGGCAGCGTAATCTTTTAGAATCTGAAGCGTAATCACGGGGAGGAATCACGCCGTCCGTTACCCAAACAAACAAGATGGCGGATGCAGCCAAAAAGTAGGTTTTTCCGTTTTTTCTCTGAAATTCATGATGTTCTTGTGTAAAGGTACATATAACAACCTTCTACACAATTTTCCTGGCACACAGAAATTTATTTCATGGTGTTTCGTCCCGTACTTCTTCTAAAATGCGCGTCACCAGATTCGAAGCGAGAGAATTTTCCACCGGTTTGATCGTGGTAACGTACGGCTTCTTCACTCAAATTCGCTGTTTCTTTTACATATATATATATTAACTGAAACCACTGACTTTAAAAAGTTGTAATATGTTGTCAAGTAATCATTCAAGTCCATTTAGGCTAAATTCACTGGTGTAAATATTAATATCGGGGCATTTTCCGGAAATGATAACGTATGGCGCATAAACTATCAATGATAACGTACGGCGCATTTTTCTACTTGGTGGATTTCTATCTGTCCAGTCAGCTGATAATAAATTATTTGTATGTAGAAAATGATAGATATTTGAGAAAAAAAGTTTGTCATTTCAGAAATAAATTATTAAACAATGCTGCACCATCGGGTATCAATATCTTTCTAGCTGGTGGCATAATAGATAGTTGTTGTAAATATACCAAGTAAAACATACGTTTATAGTTTGAGAATATTTTTGTATAAAATGCATAATGGAAAGAAAAGCCTCCACTTTCAGGAAACATTTGTGTATTGTTGTCTTCACATTAAATTTCGCCAGTGTTGTGCTATAATTATGGTCTTATCCCCTTATCAGAAAGAAGAAATGCATTCACCAGTGCAAAAATGTTAAAATGGTACGGAAGACTTGATATATTTTCTTTTCCAAAATTACTTTAACAAATTACTGATAAGAAAATCTTAATATTTGAACCACGTCAAACATAAACAAAACGAAAAGTGATTGCGACTAGCTTACACTCAGATGAGATGAGCCTGTGTTTATACAATCTGGTCGCTGATTAAAAGAAAATTCATAAAAGAGAATAATGAATGAGAATAGGTTCTTTATTGAATTTATTGAATTAGTTAGAAAATAATGTTTTGCGAAAAAGTTCAATAAATTTATTTAAATAAGAAATTTCCAGTTTATTTGACGAAACGTTTTCTATTTAGCGTGACGCTGTGCCACTATGACGTCAGATATATTTGAACGACATATCCGTACAGTTTTTTATTAAAAATAAATCGGATTTGGATTTCGATGTTTTAGCCATGTCCGAGAACCCGTCTGAAATCATTAAAGCTAGACCGCTCATGAATGCGCTCAGATGACGTCATTATCTTTATGAAAGAACAACTGTAAAAAATACTACGCTACTATGATAATAGTGTTTACGAAGTAAATGTTAGTAACATATACTTCGTAAACACTATTATCATAGTAGCGTAGTAATCAGTTAGTGTTCATCTGTGTTGTTCTACAAAATTTAGAAACTTTGACAGGAGCGATAGCGGCCGTAGAATGTTTCTTATTTCCGTAGAACAGCTTCGGATGAATACTAACATACTTAGTGTCAAGCTTTATTTGGCTTCATAAATATTTACTTTCTTTCGTCACTATACTTGTCTATTTTACGAACACGGTTCTTTGAAGCACTATGAAAATAGAAGTTTATGTAGTGTCCAAATTTATTTCTCACCCAATGAAAGCGCTGTATTTCTTTAAAAAATCTGTGCGTTAATTTTCATTGAAGAACAAAAGACGTTACTTTATCGAAATCCGTTCATAGTCGATTTCTCATTTTCATAGTAATTCATAGAACAGCATAGTGACGTTTTTAAATGCCAAAAAAAGCTTGAAACTTAGTAGTATGTTAGTATTCATCCTTAGCTGTTCTACAGAAATTAAAACATCCTTCTGTCGCTATCGCTCCCGTCAAAATCTATAATTTCTATAGAACAGTACACTAACATATACAATGATATTTGGGATCAAGTTTCACTTTTGACGAAACTTTAAGATCACCAAAGGTGGGAAAGTTGCTCTAAATTCGACTATGATATGCAAGAAAACATATCACTCGTGATTACCTATCGGATTTTAATATCATCCCACTGGCACCTGCACAAGGGCTCAAGTTAGCAAGCATCGTTACAGCCCACTGCAAAAGAGCCATCGGATCGGATATTTCCATTCGATACAAAAACACATGACAGATATTATGCAAACACTAAATAATATTCAGTTTCTTTATTTGGTTCTACACATCCTGTTATGTCTGGTTAATGGTAACATAACTTTTCTCTTATATAGAAAATCAATTAAGCAAACAAAAATTCGCCGTACGTTATCATTGATATTTTGTGCGCCATACGTTATCATTTCCGGAAAATGCCACGATTTTAATATTTTCAGCGGTTATTCTAGCCAGAATGGGCATGAATACTTAGATGCCGACATATTACAACTTTTAAATGTCAGTGATTTCAGTTAATATACATATATGTAAAAGAAACAGTGAACTTTAGAGAAGAAGCCGTACGTTACCACGATCAAACCGGTGGAAAATTCTCTCGCTTCGAATCTGGTGACGCGCATTTCAGAAGAAGTACGGGACGAAACCTCATAAAATAAATTTCTGTGTGCCAGGAAAATTGTGGAGAAGGTTGTTATATGTACCTTTACACAAGAACATCACGAATTTCAGAGAAAAAAAGGGAAAAACCTACTTTTTGGCTGCATCCGCCATCTTGTTTGTTTGGGTAACGAACGGCGTGATTCCTCCCCGTGGTAATGTGCGACAGTGACGGGAAAACAACGAAAATTATTCAATAAATTGCAGGTCTATATCATTATAATCTTACACTAGCTGTCAGTACAGTGCAGAATATCTAGACTTTGCTGAAGGGTAACTTTTCTGCGGTAAATAGCTAATCATTAGTTTGTTCCTATGATTCATTTATATATATATCTTAGTTTAGTGTCGGTTATTTTGTCTTTTCATTAAGAAATGAAATATGTACTTTAAATTATCGTCATGGCACCAAAACAGTTTAATTCCTGTTAAAGTTTTTCTGTTTTCTGTTTATATACATGTACAGTAAAAGTTTCCTGTTTCCAGTTTTTAAATCTCTGGATATCTTTGTTATATCAGTTTGTAAAATCGGGCGGTATTGCAGTCAAAGTATTGAAACTAGCATACGTGGTATAAGAAGTATCAATGACATCGTCATTCAATATTCACATGCAACATTCACTTTTCACGCACCACCACATGTATTGCCCATGCGTGTTGAATTTGGTTTGTTATAAAATAAGATCAATGGACTATAATATGATGTTACACAACTATATTTATTGAAAATTTCAACATATGATTGGGCCAATATTGATACAAATATGAGACCATTTACACATGTGCACACTTATAGGATTTGTTAAGTGTATATGATGTAATATCTCAAATCACAAGTCTGTGATAAAACACTTATCATAAAATATCTATTCACCGGAAATACACAACAAATTCATGACGTCATTAGATATTGCTGTCCTCCTCGGCTACTATAAGGGTTCCACTAAAAGTTGATTTCTCCGTGAACGTTTTTGGTTCGGAACACATCCCGAGGTATATAGAATCACCAACACTAAGTTCAAGGACAGCTGTGTTACTAGCTTGCTGGTATTGGTCACCGTGTATAAACGCCGCCCTTGACCCAACGAAAATTGTCGTGTTACCGTTCTTCATCAAGTGACAATACGCCTGATTGACGTCCAGCTGTTTTTCAATACTGACGTGGAAGGAATAAATTCCCGGTATCCGGCAGGTAAATTGTCCGGTAGACGAATTGTAATCATCGCCAACATTTGTTATTACAGTTGTAAAGTAAATGGTATCATTTTCAGGTCCATCTACTGCTACTCCGTTGGTGAGGAAGGCTGAGATCGGACCTGAAAGTTGACCGAAATAATATATAAGATATCTTGATATTATAACAAATAAAATATAAAAGTCATGTTTTATATATTAGCCGAGTGCGTGTAAAATAATAAAGAACTACATATTGTAATTCAAATCAGCTAAATGTATACACATTTAGATATAAAAGCTATTACAATACATGGATCAATATATATTCCTCGCTTATTTCCACCTTATTCATAATCCTTAATCAAAGTTCTTCATTCATTTTGGTAAAAAGAAGGAATAAATTTATCGGCAAAATTAATAATCAAAGAACACCTTCCAATTCATACTTGAATAGAATCATTTTTACAAAGACAGTTATGGGTCATTTAGATACCTCAGTATTATGACCACACATACAGATAGATACTTTTATTTGACACCTTACCAATTAAAAATCTTCATCTAATATAACTTTAAAATTTCATTTAGCCTCATTTTCATTTTTCGAGTCAAAACAAACAAACAAATAAACAAAAAGAAAAAGAAAAAAACATCATTACACTCGAACTAATTATTTAAAGTTCTATCGAAATGTCAAAATATGGTGTGTAATCAGGAGTCCATTATACATCGTTGAGTGCAATACTGGTTCTATTGGACTCATACACAGCTGCAGAACCTTTACTACACTCGGCTAGCGCTTCGTTCAACATATAATTCAGTATTGTACTCAATAATGTACAATAATCTCATATTATAAAAAAGTTTCCATAGAGGTCCGTTAATAAATGCATGCATAAATGCGTATTTGTCGTATATACACCCAATAACTTAAAGAAATCAAGAAAAAAAAATACATAAACTCATGAAAGAATTACCTTGACAATCTTTAACTTCACACAGTGCTGAATCATGTACGTCGCCAAAGCACAAGCGCATCGCGCTGTTACACTGTCTCCTCCTCGTCTTCATACCAGTTCCACAAGTCACGCTACATACACTCCATGACGACCAGTCTAACCAAGTATCTATTTATAGTTAAATAGAAGAAATATTTTGCAATTGCAATGTTTCAAACTTTATTTCGTACTAATGCCTACTACGGCCCTACAGCATAATTTTAACAATAACAAATTACACATACATAAATAGTGTGTTATGTACGTATGTTACATGAATATAGAATAATAAAGTAGTATTACTTGTAATAATTTCATTACATCAAGTATAAAATAGTCCCCTTTAGTATATTATTTATTTATTTTCATTACATCAAGTATAAAATAGTCACCTTTAGTATATTATTTATTTATTTATTTATTTATTTATTTGTATCAAAGCACAACTTACCATTACATGCCTCTTTCATACAAATCTTTTCGTCACTGGACGCCCCAAGACAAAACAAACCGTCGGCCTCTGGAAATGGTTGTGAACAGTTTCGAATACGTTTTTGAAGTCCGATTCCACATGTGACGCTACAATCGGACCAAGACGCCCAGGCTGCCCAGTTACCATCGACTGTAATGTCCAGTTATTCAAGAATAAATTTGTATGAAAATTTATAAATAGACCAAATACTTACGTTCGACTTAAAATGTTTACCTTTCCGATGATAATTGAAATTTATACGATTTAGATATAATATTTTGTATTCAAAAGATCACTAGCTAGATTAACAATGAGTAGATGGTAAGACTTTTCGCCTTTATTCTTGCATAACAGACTGGTGTTTCCGTGAGTTTTACCCATGCCGACAAGCCTCGTTACCGCCTAATGGGCGGGTCCCCTGGCCTCGGGACGGATATTCCGGTCCGAACCGCAACATATAACAGATATTATTAATCAAAACGAATTTGAAGTTCTAAATAATATCAATTCAATTAAATGTAATGTTATATCTTGAATGCAATATTATTTCTAAAATAATCTCTTTCTTTCTTTTCATGATGAATTTTGTCCTTTTTTCTTTCATTTGGTTTATTGCATGATGCTATTTCAGCACGACACAGTAGGGTGTTGACTTTAGGTATCACAGTACTAAATATTTTCATTAAATCGTACGAACGAAATGGACTTGGCTTAAATGACTCATTTTACGGATATTGACAGCTGCATCTATACTTAAACATACACATGTCAATCAAAGTAAACTAACTGATCAAACGCAACAACCATTAGGTCAATTTTCTATGTTTATAGATGACGCTTCATAAGCAAATTAGCACAAGCTCGGATTTCCACGAAAGTAACGGGGGAAGTATACTATAATTGCCCCTGGTCCTTTGACGTACATGTTGTAGAGCACAGATACACGGGCCCTCGGTTTCTAAGGTCTCACCTTATAGGCTATTAGTATTGTTAGTTGAGCCGGGGGATTGGACCTCTGATTTCTAGATTTCTAATCCGGTGCGTAACCACTAGACCACTGATCCGCTAGCTCCTATTTTGACTTATCATATGGTAATCTTTATAAAAGAATAAAGTCTTATATGTATACTATTCATTTCTAACTGTATGATTTTGTCACCACCTGAAGGAACTGCGTCTACAAATAGCACATTTTTGTTCATTTCGATTTTTGAACATGTGACAACATGTGACAAATAGCATGACTTGCCATATATGTAACCAATGAGCATTGTACCTTTGATTATTAAATGTACAATAACCAAATGAGATGTGTCACAACAAAACCAACATAATGGGTTTGCGACCAGCATGGATCCAGTCTAATCAGGATCCATGCTGTTCGCTTACCAACCCTTTTACAAGTCGAGAAACTGATAGCGAACAGCATGGATCAGATCAGACTGCGCAGATGCGCAGGCTAGTCTGGATCCATGCTGGTCGCAAACCCATTATGTTGGTTTTGTCGTGACACGGCTCAAATATTTGCAACGCTTCTGATTTCGGTAAGTATTCATCAGAATCGTCGGCGTATTTGAATTCATTTTATTTTACTAACATTGGTTAAAAAGAATATTTGGATGAAAAACAAATCAACGTGAAATAGTATCGTCGGAAGGACTGGCTCTTTAGGTGTATTTAAATCTTGGCACAGAAATTCTTACTTGGACAATTTCTTTCAGTGCACGCTTCTGTCTCCATACCATCCCCCGTGCAATTATCTCCACCTGCTTTTGGCTCTGGGTTATCACATGTTCGATCGCGCATGCGTGTTCCATTTCCGCACGTAACATCGCAACTTGTCCAATTACTCCATTCAGACCAATTTCCATCAACTTTTCAAATACATGATAAACGTCTGATTTTTTAATATTATAATGCATTTTTTCTGTTTTTAAAGACACACTAAAATGTTTATATAAATATGGCAGTAAATAATAAATGTAGTTTCTACAATGATCATATTAGACTTAATTATGACTGCTAGAATTTTGTAGAGTTTTGGAAAAAGTCGAAAGTTAAAAAAATACTTCCCGATATTATTGCCATAGGAATCATTTGTAATAATATTTTTATGTTTTTATAATGATTTTTTTTCCCATTTATTTCAAAATTTATATTCGTTTGTAAGCTTATAATGTAATCAGATGGGATAAAAATTGTGATATATATTCTGCTAAAACAAGCATAAGTCACTCTTTACCTCTCTAGTCCATAAGGCTATATAGTCTTTCTGTAAGGTACATGTATGTTTTTAGATAGTTAGGATATAAACTCTATTAGAACTGTGTTGAATACATAATTACCAAGTTCGCATAAATTGCATGTTTTCTTGCAGACCTTCTTCGCTTTTTGAATGTTATCACAAACATTAAATAGCTTGTTAAAGTGTTCGCATTCTTGTTTGCCCTGTTCGTCATAACAACCATTCTCCGGTAAAGTTGCTGTAAATAAAACAATAAGTATATATCTATTAATTGTGACCTTAGACAACTTACATCAATGTTAGTATTTTAATATTATAATATGTTGATATTATAATTCATTTGTATCACCTATCAATTATATATTAATCAAAGCAACTTATTTTCAGTGATGTGAACTTGTGTATTTACTATTTTTTAAAATTGGTGAACTGGTTATGTATTAATATTTTTATGATATTCTAACTAGTGATATATATAATACTATTGTTTACGATGTGTTAATAAGTGATACATTAATATTTTAGAGTGGTTTACTCATGGTGTTTATTTATATTTTTTTTTTATTTTGAGTATAGTTAACTCGTCATATTTTACTATTTTTAAGATTGGTTAACTAGTAATAACTGACTGTTTTTAAGACTAATTCTTTTGCACTCCAGGTCGGGTAAATGTTGTTTTTGTATCTTATGTGGTCTATTTTTTCTTTCTAATTATAGTAATAGCAAATATTAGATTCAATTAAATGTGATAACAAATGAGGAAATATAATGTTGCTAATGTACAATAAAGGAGTAACTGGCGAGCCACTTAAAGAAAATATTTTATTGACTCACGTGTTACTATCGGTATAGCTGTGGTTTCTAAAAGATGCTTGTTACAGGTATCAGTTGTGCAGCAGCCTAGATTTACGTCATTCTCATCGTACATGTTTAACTTCTCCGAGTACAACCAATCTCTGCAATAATAAACATTTCATACATGTCATAAAATAAACCGTTCTTAATTAACAAAAAAGGTAAGACGTAAAGAAAATATGGTTTTAAGGTACATACTTACGGTAGCAGCACACATTTTGACAAACGGGGTTAAGCTAAAGTACCAAATATCGGTTACACAGTACTAAATCTTTAGCATTATACATGTATTTAGGATAATTTATCATGATTAATCAGAATAGCACTGCAAAATAACATATGTTAGTTCTCATGCACCGTGTGTTGCTCTTTTTCGGGAAGTCGGGTATATACATCAGACAGAAAAGTTTTAATGTTTGTTTGGTTAAAATTTAGATAAGTAATACTTCTCATTCTCCGTTCTCATTTGTTACAATATAAAATACATGTTGTATTGAATCCAGAACTTGAAATGAACAATATGATCTCCTTTTTGTTTATTAAGCTAGTCATATTTGTATTTTTATATTGTGATATTAGTGATTTTTGACTGTTATTTTTCTGTTTGTTTGTTGTTATAACCAGTTGCATATTATATGCCTTGGTTTAATAAAAACTGAACTGAAACTGTTTTCTTGTTTTCACGTCGAATTTTACACATTTTGGTCGATCCACTTTACATGCATACCTTGAAAACTAACCAGTAATTTCCAAATTGTATCCACAAGAGACGGACTACTTATCAACATAATAATGATCTTTGAATCAGCGGTGAGAGATTAAATAAGACCATTTACACGGGGGAGGAAGTGTTACACGAAGCATGGAGTTCTTATGATAACTTGTTCAGGAGTTCTTGTGATAACTGTCACGGTGTTCGTCGGAAAACATCTGTATATACTACAAAAACACTCGTAGAAAAATGGTTATTTACATCGTTCAAAAATAAGTTTAGGTGCTAAATTTGACTTTAATGATTAAGCTTGTCTTACATCTTGCATTATATGTAAAAAACTAATTCACAGGCCATTTTTAATCAACTCTTGCTTCAAATCTGGTAGTTTTGAGTAAAATTTCCAAATTACTTGCCAATTCACAAGTATTGACCGGTTTATTTCTGGTCTTCATCCTTGCTATACATAATTACCCAATTATAATCCAAAATTGCAAACATAAAGCACCAGCTAACAGCTTTATACCCGGTTTTTCAAATGTCCCGGAGTTCTTGTGATAACTCTAAAAATGTCACAGAGTTCGTATGATAACTTTTATTATTGCCAGTGTGTTTCTTGCGCTAAATCACGGCACGTTTTGACGTTTATTATCATTCAATAAGATTGTAATTCATTATGAAATGCAGTACGCTCATCCTTTGCACAAAAATGTGGACAAAACGTTGGTTTTAAGTGTCTGCAAAGGATAAATAGGTCATCTACAGTAAACATTGAACCAGCGGCCACTGATATTCAGCAGTATAATGGCTTATTTTCTGGTCCTTCGGGATCATTGATGTCAACACTATAAAGTGTTGAGAATTGAGTACCGCTCAAGTCAGTGCTAGGGGGTTGTGAGGGATGTTGCACTAATACAGTATCCCTCATGTACAGACTCAATCAACCCGAGTCTGCAATTCTTATGCTATTTTGTTGTGATTCATGCTTCCGAGGGATCACTTTGTTTCCAGAATTTTACACCACAAAACAAAAATGTCTCAAAACGTACACGCTGTTCTCAGTTCCAAATGTTTTAAGCAACCACCTTTCTTAAGCAGACAATATATAGGCATGCTTCCCTTACCTAAGGGCTAAGTAATTTGTATCATTTTATACCATAATAAATAAGTATATAACCAGGATAATTTCCACACCTATGTCTTAAAAAAGTACGATACATGATAAAAACTCAACTGCGCTGGTTCTAACTACCGATCTCTCGAACAAATTTGAACTGTCCCTCCAGGTTCCAGATTTACCTAGAATGGGATTTCAGTTATTGTGCATGGGCATAAAAAAACAAGAATTCCCCAGGTGTTGCTTGTAAGTGTCGCAAGTTTTCTAATGTAACTTAAAACAACAGACAAAACTTTGAAACATATTAATCGCAGTACTATTATAACTGCTGTTTTACATAGAAAACAAATGTTTCTCAGATTGATGCTTAACTGAGAAAAAATAGATTGTAAGTCCGGATGAAAATGATAAAGGGCCAGAAAACTCTAGGGGCCGGAAACTGCTAGGAAACCAGGACATAAATCCTTTTTCCAGTCTACGAAATCTGCGTCAAACAAAAAAATACCATGAAAAAGATACAGGGGTAAGAAATAATATCTCTTGAACTAAAATTCACTCAAAACCAACATTATATATCCTATTGTTTGCGCAAAGGATGAGCGTACTACATTTCATAATGATTTACAATCTCATTGAATAACAAAAAACGCTAAAACGTGCCGTGATTTAGCGCAAGAAACACACTGGCAATAACAAAAGTTATCATAAGAACTCTGTGATATCTTAAGAGTTATCACAAGAACTCCGAAACATTTGAAAAATCGGGTATAAATCTGTTAGCCGGTGCTTTATGTTTGCAATTTTGCATTATAATTAGGTAATTATGTATAGCAAGGATGAAGACCAGAAATAAACAGGTCAATACTTGTGAATTGGCAAGTAATTTGAAAATTTTACTGAAAACTACCAGATTTGAAGCAAGAGGCGATTAAAATTGGCCTGTGAATTAGTTTTTGACACATAATACAAGATGTAAGACAAGCTTAATTATTGAAGTTTAATTTAGCACCTAAAACTCCTTTTGGAAAGATGAAAATAACCATTTTAACGAGTATTTTTGTAGTATATACAGATGTTTTCTGACGAACTCCGTGACAGTTATCACAAGAACTCCTGAACAAGTTATCATAAGAACTCCATCCTTCGTGTAACACTTCCTCCCCCGTGATTTACTCGATGTCAGAGATCAGTTGTCACAGAGAAACTATTCTACGTCTCAGGGTCAAATTAACCAGCGACCCCTTGGATAATTTTGGTTTCAATTTCTTTCTATCAGTTCAAAAGATACACGGTTTTAAATTTGTTACAATATCTTTATCCTTAACTCTACACTGTATCATTGAAATGCTTAATGGAAGACTTTTATTTAAAAATTATTTCTAAAAAGATTCATATACAAAATTTCATAATATACACAATAGCATGTATACATAAGTAAATTGCATATTTTTGGAAATGATGACGTGATTGATAGTATTAGTTTTCTTCCGTTCTTAAAGTTGCATGCATTCATGCTTATTATCATATTTTTTAAATATGTATTTGTATTGTCAAGTGAACAAAGAAAATGCTTTATACATACGATCCACGTAAATTACCAAAAAGAAATTCCCAATACGTAAAAGTCTTACCGCGTTAACGCAGTAGAAATATGAAGTTTAACACTGCAAAATCAGTCTTTCGTTACACATAAGATGTAAATTATTATTGAATCTTAAATCTTTTTTATTTTTCTTATAATTTTTCTTATAATCTTAAGACATTTTTCTCAAGTTTGATGTTCTTAAACAATTTTGGCTCATCTGGGGGAAAGTGGTTAACGCGTCAAACTAGTAATCTAAAGATTGCTGACCGCGTGCATGGGTTCAAACCCCATCAATGGCATGAGAAAAAAACTTTACACTCATTACTCAGTATCTATTCTAGGATTCAAACAACAGGGGGGATTTTCATCGTAAAGTGAGAATTTATAACATTTGTTGATTTTTTTTCTTCTTTCTATATGTAAAAGTTTCACCCTGCCTCTAAAGATATAGGGGGAATTGTCAAAAATATGGGTGAATCCCCCATCCCCCTCCTAGAATAGACACTGATTGCTTAGTACTTGTTTGGTTCCAGGAACGGACGTTTCACATTAAGCTTATAGCTTCCAACACAAATGAACTAAAATAAATTAGTATAAACTAATCATTATGAGATAAAACTATAGTCTGTCCCATCAAATTTGAACATTCCATTTTTTATTTAATATAATAGTAAAATCATTTAAATTAATGTCATGTTAACCCTGACGTCAATATCTCTAGGCATGTTTTTCATTTTTTTCATAAAGTCACGAATGTTGTCAAAATGCTAAAATTATATTTTTTCCCGTTGACTTACGTTGTAACCTGACGTGACGTCCATTTCAAAATGGCGGCGCCCATATAGACGTCATTTAGGGTTCGTCTCACAATTAGCGTGAAATATACTCGGTAATTATAAAAAAAATATTATCCTTATTCACTTACTGGTCAATAGCTAAAGGTTATCATTAAAATGAAAAATGACAACAAAGTTGGAGTCAAAAAGGCAATTTTACTAGCAAACCATTATTTAAAATAATCAAAATCATTTGAATTGAAAATATCAGTAAGGTTTATAAATTCTAACACACAAAGATTTAATTAGTTACCATGATATAATGTCGTATTTCATATTTTTTTAAGAAAGTGAATTGATTATAGCTTTTCAATCAAGCGCGTATCTTGAATACCGCAACGCGTCGTAGGGGAGCGGGAATACCAGCTAGAAGACTATAAAAATGGTTCTTCGCTAATTAATGTTTAATTTAAATAATTCTGTAGTTGTCTGAATTCTGTCCATTAGTGTGCATCACGTCTATTCAAAAATTAATAAAGTGACCACGTTCGATGGGATACAAAAATATGTTACCCTTCTTATTTCGGGTGCGATGTTCGTGCGCTAAAACTTTCCGTAGATTTCAACTTTCACAAGAAAACGCCAACAAATACTACATTATCATGCAAATCTGACAAAAAAAATATTAAGAAAACTGATTCACTATACGTTCAGCATTGGTTTGCTTGTTACCACAGTGTCTACTTAACTAACTCCGTCGCTAACGGGAGACTCGCGTTCGGGGAAAATGTAAATTATAAGAATATAATATCATGCTTTCTAGTTTAAGCAATCAAACGTAGGCCTATTCACTTTAAGCTCGTAAATACATGTTTAACTTTCCGTCTCGCAATTCAACAAAACGTCCAGAAATACCGGCAGTGATTTGATATTATTAAGAGAAAGTTTGAATTGGAGTGTTCAGTAAGCGACAATAAGTGTTTTTTTTTGTAGACACAAAATGTTACATGTATATGTTAGTGTTCATCCGTGCTGTTCTACAGAAATTAGAAACTTCGACGGGAGCTATAGCGACAGGAGAATGTTTCTAATTTCTATAGAACAGCTAAAGATGAACACTAACATATTTAGTGTCAAGCTTTATTTGGACCTTGATTACGTCACTACGCGGTACTATGAAGCACTATGAAAAATAGAAGGCGACTATGAACGGATTTCAATATAGTATCGACTTTTTTTCTTCTATGAAAATTAACACACATAATTTTTAAGAAATACAGCGTTTTCATTGGATGACAAATAAAGCTAGACACTAAATAATTATTTTGTTGATATGAAGGGTAGATCGAGTCAAAGAGAAACATCGAGTGACGTTCTCAATAATTTTAGCCTTCCTAAAATTTGAAAATATTCAGTGTTTTACAAAAACAATACATGTAGATCTAAAATCTAGCATATTTTTCGCAGGAGAAAAATACCACGTATTGTATATTTTGTAGCTAAAAGAGTAAGATTTACAGAAGTCTTGAATAACGATAAATATGTAGGGAAACTATTTCTGAGAAATATAAAAAATGTTCAAAAACATAAAATCAAAACGAATTTTATATGTAGGATCTAGTTAACCCATTACTTCATGAGCATTTTGTGAAAAATGGCTGTTTTCATTGAAAAGTCTCCCGTTACAAGTTCAAATTGCTATAATACTATAAAAACTGCTTCAACACTTATCAAACTTGGCACAATTGTTGACTGGACCATTGCCCTTGCAACAACATGCTCAGGCTTAAATTTTCTGTTACCATGGCAACGAGGGGACATCTCAAAATTGCCAAAAATCACTATTTTGCGTTGATTTTTTCCATCATAATTGATTTCAAAGTGCTGCAACTTCTCAATGGATTGAGATAGAGTCAAATGCTTTTCAGCGTTGGTTACACGTTACCTTATGATCAATCTGAGGTCATTTATAGCCTCTCACAAGTCCAAAATTTTCTTGGCGATGACGGGGGACTCCGCCCCCCTTCAAACCCCCCAAACAGAACGGGGCACATCCCCCTTCTGGCAACCCCCTGATGTATCTTTTGGTTGGGGGGCCGCGCCGAAAAAGTGGTCACTTTTTTTAACAACATTTCTCAAACGAAAACAAGTGTTGGGGGCCTAAATAAGGCATTTTTTCACCATTTGAGACAACAAAAAGGGGGGGGGGTGTGAAAAAGGCGTTAAAAGGCGTGTATATGAAGTAATGGGTTAATGAAAGAAGTATTGTACTGTTGAAGATTCATGTCATTTTAAGTGTGTTTAAAATTATTTTTAAATGTTAGAAATCTATCAAACGTTTTATATTATTAATATATGAATTGAACGTGGAATTTGCAAAATCTGGGTTTACAAAAATTATTTTAAATGCCATCAAGACAAATTTATCTCAACGCTTAAAATTATCTGTTTGAGGTTACATATGCCTAACCGCCCTCTGTTAATGCCGCAACTGTAATCATCCATAAAAAGCGCGAGGCATTTTTGTTACGTCATTTATTTCGTCAATAATATTGTTGTTGACGTAATAAAGTTTTTTTTCGTCAGGAATCCATAAGCATTGTGATGTAGACAACTAAAATTTATTGGCCGTTCTTGAATTATGGATTTGGAACATGCTGAATTATGATGTGTTTCATTTACATATTTCATTTGCTAACCCAGATAACTCCACAAATTGAAGAAGAATGTTTTAATAATGAGACGGATTATCAGTTTAAAAAATCTGGATCATCAAAAGTGCACAGACGCTTGGTGTTTGGAGCTCAAAACGCCTTTAAAATCCAAATAAAATGCATATTTGTCAATCCCGGTAATATAAACAACGCAACAGCCGAAATAAACATCAATATTCTCGCCGTTTTTTTTCAACGACAAAAACTTTCGATAAATTCAATGGACCAGGCGGCTATGAACGAAGCTATCCGATTATGTGGTTCCCAAACTTAAAAGCGCTGCGCATTTTGCACACGGCAAAGCTGGGGCACATAATCGGATAGCTTCGTTCATAGCCGTCTGGTCCATTGAATTTATCGAAAGTTTTTGTCGTTGAAAAAAAACGGCGAGAATATTGATGTTTATTTCGGCTGTTGCGTTGTTTATATTACCGTTGAAGTTTAAAATTGACCATCATCGTGAAGAATTATATCTTCTGTGTCGATGGACCAAAGGATTATGTGAAAATATTGGAAATGGATTAAAATACATGGTGATTATGACGGTAGGGGTGCGGATTTTTTCCGGCGAACATTTTTATCTTGTGTATTATTATAGATGTTGAAATTTGATTTTTTTCAAAACGGCATATATTAAGATTTTTTGATATATATGATCAGTACATGTCCTGGGATTGACAAATATGCATTTTATTTGGATTTTAAAGGCGTTTTGAGCTCCAAACCCCAAGCGTCTGTGCAAAAGTGTAGGAGTCATGACTCATGTCATTAAGGATTTTTGAAGTCAAAAAGTGGGATCTACGGAACTGGATAGAAACTGGCAATGAAGGAATCTTCATATGCGAATTTGTCGTGACGTTTATAAAGTTCATCGGATTCTATTAAGCTTAAAAGTAAGTGCAATTTCTAGATCTACTCCATGTGACTCGGTGTTCTTGTTGCTTATTTTTCATTTTTTAAAGTTTTCCATCATGCATTGCAACTAAACCGTTACATCTTGTAGATCCAGCTTTGTAAAATAATCATGAAACGACCCCGAGAACCTCATGTATATATTAGAAACATGACACGTGCTTTCTCCCGTTCATCTTCAAATGAAGAGTACTTCGGCAATGGCTACGGAAAATAAACAACAGAGATTTTCCATAGAGAAATCAAAATTTGCTTTCACAAGAAAAGTAGACACTTTAGAGTAAAATCCTGAAAAATCTCGAGGGTGACTTTTTTTAGTTTACAAAAATGTTTTACTTTTTATTCAACATCGTTTTGTTAATTCATACCAGGCAAAAGTTCATTTCCATTTTTAATGGGACAGACTTATAATAGTTTTTTAACTTTACACTAGAAATGTTGGCTTATCTGAAGTCCATTACATGTCAAGTTAAAAGGTACTCAGAATATATATAATAATAAGTGATATATTATCTAATATACTTGTATTCAGATGATTAAGACTTACCGACGTCCGACGACTGGTGGGATTCCTGTCTTGTTAATGTCCTTTGGAGGAGTTGTTGTTGTACTATTTATAACATTTGAGAGTGCACTTGTTGTATTAGAAGAGTGTGATGTAACTGTTTTTGTTGAATTCACAAATGTTGCTGATGGTGTCGTTGATGACATCGATGGTATTGAAGTGTTCATTGTGGTTGTGGTTCTAATTGTTAGAGGTCCTGTGGTAGTCATATTTCCTATCATGTGGCTTGTCACGTGACTTGGCATAGTTGGAGGCAGAGTTGTAGTTCCACATTTCTACAGATACAAAATATAATTGAGACGAGATACGTACAATTTGGAATCTAAAGTTTGTATGTAAGAAAGTGGCGAGTATTTAATAATAATCATGTTGGTTAAGCTTCGAATATTGATAATATTATGAGTACTTTCCTGCAAGGTTTTAGATTATCATGATAATAGATGAGAACTTTTCAACAAATAGTACTTCATTTTTCAGAATTGATATAATTATATATTAATCAGCTTATGTTCATCGGTTTATCATTATTTAATGCATTCCGAAAACTAATGGTACAAAATAATACTGATATACATGTAGTAATATTAAAATGCTACATATTTACAACATTTTACCTTATATATGTTGTACATTAATCAGAAGGCATATACATAGATCTGTTATCAAATTTCATAACATGGATAGACAATAGCTTGTGAATTTTTAAAGGTACAATGTATATATAAATACTTCTACGGTTATCAAAATAAAGGATTAACAAATACATATTGTCAGAATTTTAGCTGGTGAATTCTTAAAGATAGTATATGAATACTTCTACGGTTATCAAAATAAAGAATAAACAAATATATTGTCAGAATTTTAGCTGATGAATTTATAAAGATAGTATATGAATACTTCTACGGTTATCAAAATAAAGAATCTTACAGAAGTAGTATCACATCCCATAGTATAAGTTTTGTTATTTCCAGATCCATTACTTTCGATGAAACAGAACTGTGAAATAAAAAGCAAAAACAAAAACATTTCGATAACAGAGAGTTTGAAAATGCCAATTGAAGACAACTTCATCGAGCAATAAGATTTAAATTTTAACATTTTAATTTTGCACTGATTGAATGAAGGTCATCTAAAAATTTAAATTATTGACTTTTTTTTTTCTTTCTTTTTTTCATAAAGATATCACCTGTTAAAGAAAGTAAAGTGCCGGATTAAGCTGGAAACTTTTAACACATTTTTTTTTGTCTTTTCGCCTTTATTTTTTTAACTTAAATTATTTCTCAGAATATATATACATATTGTTTACATTTTCTACAAAACATTACAATATTACTACCTTACAATAATGAAGGATTAAGGGCCACTTAAATGATTTTTTTTCTCTACATCAGTAAAACTTTTTTCAATATCAATAGTGCCGGTAAACGTTAACATTCAAGTGATTTCTAACGAGAGAAAGAAATATTACCGTGCTGTTTGGACAATATTTAACGCTGTGACAATCGGAGGGATCTGTTATATCCGCACAGTAATAGCAGTCAATAGCATCTACAATATAATACACCTGATATTTAAACACAATTGTACAGATATATTGACAAAGCAAAATATTGATTTAGTAAGTAAAAGTCATCGTCGGATACCCACGGCCAAACCCATCAACATATAGCATGTATATTACATGTTTGTTAATCAGTCGTGGGTATCTGACATGACGATTATTTTCAGCAATTGTTTTGTTGAGTGCATATTTGCCAAAGAGGAATACAAACACACTGCAGGGACTTTAACAATATATTTCAATTTTGACGTAGTCCAGGCTGGGACAGAAATTAATCTTCCGTCCCAGGTCCAGGACACCGTGCAAGAGATGCAAAACTAAATTATACTTTGTATAATAAGCTGTATGGAGTTAAGTTGTAATCGTAAATTAACTATTTAACTTTGATTTTAATTTCAGTACTTTCTGATTTAAAAAGTTTCTTATAAATATTTGTTCCGGTTATAGCTTAATAACGTGTAAACGAAAAACACTAGATATGTGGGATTAGTCTTTGAATGGCAGTGTATTGTGAATTTTAAAGAAATGTTCGCTATAAACTTACATGACGTATATAGACATTTAAACAACACTAACAGAAGTAGCATCTTCATGGTTTTCCTTTACCCCACTCAATCTGTATAAAAATGACAAGAAAAACGATTTATATAACATAAGAAAAATGCGAACAAAGAAAACTTGTAATGTATATGTTGTCAACAATTATATATTGATGATGAAGAACACTATTTTTTTTACGCGAGTTGCCTTTCCTTTGACTGTGACCAAAATAAAACGCTCACGCGTTTTCTGTTCAATACAAATTATAAAGTCTGGTAGCTCAGTCTGAAACGTTTATTTACAACTTGCAATTAAAACACAAAAAAATGAGTTAAGTTAAAAACACAAAAATTGAATTTAGATATAATAAATTTCAAACCTTTGAGTTCAGTTCCTGTATAGTGCACAATTGTATCCACAATTGTTGGTTCTTTTTTTAATAAGGAAGAATCGCTCGTTGTGTTGAAATGTACTTTGTTATCAGCATATCAGCAGGGCCAAGCTGTTAAGCTTTCATAAACGTAATAAGAGTTAACCACATTGTTCTTCAAATTGTTTATCTTAATACTTTGGTGAATATACGCCTTATCTTTAAAGTCCTTATCATTGAGTTATTGGACAAATATTTTTGACAATTCGCAATTAGAGGTTAAATGTGTGAATGATGATTGAGAATGATTGGTAGAAGTCTTGAGAGTCAGAAATAAGTACAGGGTCAAACAGTACAATTTGAAATTTCAAATAGGATTCCTTATTTTAAACACAAGACTGGTTCATGAACAAAAGTTAATAAGTTAACGAAAATGATGCAATGATAACACATGAAAAAACGAGATGCAGGACATTTTAACAAAATCAGTTGTGTATCGTTTAATTTGTTTGCACAGAAAAAATACATGTAACAGTACTGAGAAATTCAAATAATGGAATTACATGAAAACAAAAATTAAATTAAACCTATATTGATAGATTTTATCCAGTGTGAACTTACCGCAGATTGCTCAAAGGCTGCTAGACATCGTGGTGGATCTTGCTTGCGAGATTTTTTTACATGTGATAATCTATTTATTATATGACGTCCACGCCTTGATCGAGGTTATGAAACTCTCTTCTAAGTTCTGTCTCAAAACCCAGAATTTCCATTGGTCAATGAGTATTCTGTTGCAATATCTGACCAATCAAATACCAGAGTTTGAGCTTAGAGAATTTCTTTATAACCTTAATAAGACCCTGTTCTACAGCCTTTAGAGCGGTCGAAACAATATGAATTTTCTAGCAGTCCTTTGCAGCATGTTTATTCCCTTTGCTCGTATCATAGGTACAATATATTTATTTATTATATACTTATAAATGAAATATTGAGTAATATTGATGAAATAAAATGTGTATTTTCAGTTTCCGTATTTTCACTGAAAAAAATTTATTTTTCACTGCAGTGAAACATATTTTCCGTATTTTCACTGGTGTCTTGCCGGACTACTTTCTTTTAAATTCTGCCAGTACACAAAATTTAAGGGGGTCTTTCAAATTTTAATGTCAAAAATGAGAAAAATGTATATAATAAACAGAAAATTCAAGTTTTTTCCATAAATACATGATGTATTTTCATCTTGTGGCATGAAAATTACCATATTTCACTCGTGGCTACCGCCACTCATGAAATATTTATTGTCATACCACTCGATGAAAATAAATCATGTATTTATAGAAAAAACTTGAATATCCTCTATTTATTCTTTTTCAACAGACCTACGCAGAACATAAAGTTCTCCCAATCAGACACAAGGAGACTCTCAAAGCAAGTTTAAAATAAATGGTTTTCTAATTTTTCTTTCTTTCAAAAAGTAAGTTTTTTGTATTTATTTTAATTTTATTATTATTATATTTTTAATTTTATTTTTTAATTCATTTTTTTAGTAAACCGTTTTGATATGAACGCTTATGGAGTGAAACGTCTTCCACTCACTGTATAAGGTGGGGTTTTGACTAAAACAAAAGTGACTTACGTAACATCTATTTGGTTTAAATTTGTCACTTAGTCTAATATGAATTAAAATTGCATTTCATTTCAATATAACATCTATGAATTATATCAAATACCTGATAAAAAGATCTTATTTATTTTGTTACGAGGTTAACAAGTTTGTTTTAACGTTTAAATGATAATAGATTGTTTGAAAGTTTCTGCATGAATATTATAATTTAATTATGTTTACATTGTGCTTTAAATAATTATTTATGCTGATGTGTTTTATGCTAAAATTTAATTGCCTAAGGCTTGTGGTATTTTTAGTTTAAACTTTTTCTAGCTCGATTGCAATACAAGTTCTTGCAACTTATATTAATCACTTTCGATTCACTTTCTTGAACTATAACCACTCGAGCCATATAATCAAGGTAGGGTTCTAACTCACGATCCCTGGATTGAAAGGCAGACAGCTTAACAATTAGGTCATCGCTCCTTCTTTGGATACTAATGTAGTGTTACCTAGTGATTTTTTGGGTACCTTATCATCCTAGTGTACAATATATAACTTACTGCTGATATGTTCTGTCTTAGCTGTTATATATGACGTATGGATACATTAATTGTACATTAAATTAATGATTACACTTGAATTTTTTAACATTTTTTTTGTTTTTGTTTTTAAATAAAATATAGATTCTAGTGGGAGTTTTACATGACATACTCAAATGTTGAATGATAAACATGTACATATATATAATTCCGATAAATTTAGTGACTTGGCTGGATTGCTCGTCCGATTAATTTGCGGTATTCGACATGGAGTTTAAACACGCTCGATGCCTATAGTATGGTAAAGGTATTTATTTATTCACTGAACAGGAAGTTTACAGGTGCCACTTCCGGTTTCACTTCACAAAAAGATATTTGAAGGAAAACAATTTAAAGAAAAATGAATACATTTAAATAACAAAAAGAACGCTCCAACTTGTCGTAACAAATACATTTGCTTCAATATATGCGACATGTTGGACGTAACAAAGTGGCCGATTTTCAGTCTTTTAGATCCAAATGAAGCTTCGAAAATAACAAAAATTTGTGTTTTTGGAAGTTCTGGAAATGAAGCAATCTACATCACTGATAATGATGATGTTTATGCTATCGGTTCGAACTGTAGTGGTTGTCTTGGATTAGGTATGCAGAATATTTTTAACATATTGAATGACTTGATTTTTATGTCTGGTCAACTTGTTTAAAGGGTGAACTCGGCCCTATACCAACTCGGCAATGGTTGGCCCTCAAATAAAAACCTACCAGAATGTAGATTGTTAAGTTAATACCGGGAAGTCGTGTCTGTGACCAAGAAGCAGGCCTGTGCTTAGGCTTGCCCGACTTTAGACCAGACTAGCTAAAGATACTTCAGCGAACAGGTTTTATATAACTGCTACTAGTGCTAGAACTGTTTGTGAAGCCAATCCCATAGCGAAAGTCAACCAGAACCGTGACATATTTATGTTATGCTGTAATTCAATAAATTTGCGTGATCTTGACAAAAGCTTTTTTAATACAGGTATTTAGTTATATTTGGGACACTTCAGTCTATATTTTTGAACACAGAACGTTAGATTGATGAAATAATGCCTCATGAATAGTTTATTAGTGGGTTCACATTTCATAGAATTTGCTGCCATTGCTGCCCTAATTATCCCGTGACTTGCGAGAATTTAGGTTCGGATATCTTTGCATGACATTTGGTGACCAGTGACCCTAATGCTATTTTTAATTGAAAAAATGACTGCAATTGTGATTTTTTTATATGAATTTTATGTACGGCAAATAAACTGCCAAAATTCTGGTAGTCTTTGTAAATAGGGTTGACACTTTACTTTACTGTCACTCAACGTCAAAATAAAAGGGACATATAAAGTTATTGAAGCCAGAACTAAGACCAGACGTGAATTTAATATATAGAATTCTAATTATTCTATACCTATTAATGAAATTTTCAGTATCAGTTTTAGTTGGGTGCTGCCATGTAACTGAATGAATGTAGCATGAAACGGAAGCGGTGCATGAAATACCGAATGACACTCTTAAAACGGAAAAATGAACAATTTACTTCCCCGGTCTTAGACTTTGTCTTATTTCATAAGAGTTATGATTACTAACAAATAGAAATCGAAAATGTCAGCAGCATATTGGTTAAAATTATCTTTGTTTAGAAGTAAAGTGTTCTGCTTACCTTGAAACACTTTCCCTGTATGGATGACCATTTATATCTCTCAGATTCTTCGGATTTATCTTGCTGTTCTAATTACCTTCTTACAAGATGGCGGCTAGGAATCGTTCTCGTCTTGCCCGGACTAAATCTCGTACCTTCCGGGAACAGTATGTTCCGGATCACGGTTACACTACCATACATCACCACACTCCCCCCGACTTTAAAGATGAAGTCCTCTCACTGGAAGTGCGGAAACCCGAGATTCAAGTCCACTCCTGGGTTTCAAACCAGTACCCACAAAACCGCCTTTACAGGCGTTAGCCTGTAAACACAGATTGTAAGTGGGCAGGCATTAGCCTGTGCAACAGTAATCTGCCAAATGCCTATCTGACAAGTTATTGACAGATAGCTTAACTGGATAACTGATATCTTAGATATCTTACCTTCCTGGGCACTGTTTTAACAGCGGCCAGCGTCCAGTTCCTAAGCCGATTGCAGCTTACACCTCCACACCAAACCTGAGTGTTGACTACAGATTTATGGAGCTACTTTTTACACCACAGCAGCCACATTAACACAGAACAAGAAAGCAACAAACTTAGCATTGCACATTTGTACTTGTTAATATCCCAGGCTTCTGTTATTTCCCAATAAGATTTCCCAACAGCATCAAAGGCACCACAGCCGTTTTGGCTGTTACCTCAGTTTTCCCTTCTTGTATCTTCAGAAAAGGACCCGTTGTGCCAACCTGCCCATGACCATCCGTCTTCATGCTGCAAATGCAATTCCACATGTCGTCACATGACTTGCACTATCCTGACCCCTGCCATACCAGAAGAATGTCTTCTTAAACCTGGCCCTGGTCACTGCAACACCCCCGAGACCACCTGATGGTATATCCTGCCTCATCTGAAGAACCTTTCTACTTATTGGGAATCTTACCTTCAGTATCGCCCATGTCCCTCAATAGAACTTAGTCTATTTATAGGTACTGTTCCTTATTCAGCCAGTGGGACTTAGCCCCAGGACCTACTAGAACTACTTAATGACTTTGGCAATACTAAAAACCCAGCACTAGCTCTTGGAACTAGCACTGCTGGCGGAAGTTACTCTACAGCTTCTTGTGGAAGTTGTTCCACTACTCAAAACTGTGCCCTACTTCCCCTTCCACCACAAAAGCATCGATCTATATTCTCAATATCTGCTCACAATCTTACAGCATCTTCAAACACACTAAACTTTAGCACCATTGACCTGATTCTGTGCCTACAATCTCAACATTTGGACATTTGCTTCCTTGTGAACCTTTGCGACCCTTGTAACCTTGGAATTTAATACTGACGATACAATGGATCCGCAAACCTCTTCCAGATTATCAGCATTATTGCGACGATACCTTATGACTTTCGTCAAACTTCATCTTTCGCACACCTCGTGAAACCTGGTTATTGACATTATTGCGATGATACCTTATGACTTTTCACGGTCAAACTCCATCTTCGCACACCTTGTGATACCAAGAGAATTGCCACATCTACGTCCCTCATGACGAGGTCCAAGTCAACCCTTGCGCAATGATCACATCCCCCACAAGGCAGTTTCCTCAGTTCGACCCCAGAAACATACTTGTACAATGCCCCGATACCGGTATTCGTGACAATGCAGCTTTGACATGCTTCTGACAAACACATAGGATTATGTTGCTATGGAACAACCCTACTCGACCTGGCTTAAACTGTCTGTGTTACTTCTTTCCAAGCAATAACCAAATGAGCCTCGAATCGAACTATTCTGCAACACACTTGCTAATGTTTCATGTCTACATCGAGAATACATCCAGCATGGAACTTGGTCCATGACTGTTTCCTTCACAAACCTGGTCTCACTCCATGCTTAGCATGAAATGACGCTGGTTTGAGACTCTGGCGCTAACAGGAAGAACACATACTACCTCCTCCCCTTTTTATTTGATTTTTTTTTTTATTGCAGTGAGGGGCAGTCAGACTTGAAATGACCCTCTTTCCCACAACCGAAACAAGTTCTTCTAGGCCATCTGCTTCTTCCTTGAGAAGTTGTCTCCTCATCTAGTTTCAGGACCATGTTGTCAAAACATCTCTGAAGCTTCTCAATTGCCACTTCCAAAGAACTCAACTGAGATGGAGCAGCGTTGGCTTGCGCAACCTCAGGAGCTTCTTCTAGGGCAAACACATTAGCGCCATCGTCAACAACTTCTTTACTAGCCCTCTTCTTAGAACGGCCATAAACTGACTGATGCAGGTGCTGATACCATTGGACTTTATTCATTGCCTCCTCCATGGTTGAAGGTCTATCCATGGCTACGGCTACCGCGGCATCTTTGTCTACCAGACCCTCACAAAACTTGCTCACTGTCTGCCTATTGGAGAAGTATTCAGGCAGGTCTTTGAACGCATTTGTAGCCAGGGTCATGACCCTATCTGCCCAATCATCAAGAGACTCCCCCTGCAGCTGTGAAGATTGGTGGAAACACACTTGGGCTGTTTCAGCAGGTTCCCTGGAACCAAATCTCATCTCCAGTTCCTGCACGAGCTTCCGATAAGAAATATCGCCTTCTCTCTCTACGATGATAGCATGATAGTCAGAGGCTTTTCCAGTCAGGCACCAGCATAAACCATCAAGGCATTCGTCTGACGTCCAATCGCATGCTTTAGCATAACGAAAGAACTTCTGCTTAAATGCCAGCCAGTTTCCCTTTCCATCATACTGCAACCTCTTCGGCAGACTCCGAATAAATGCTGCAGTCTCGGACTTTTTCGCGCTGTGCTTAGCTCTAGGTGGCGGAGAAGATTGTCTACTCAGTCCAGATAATTCATCACTTGAAGAATCATCATACCTAGCAGCTGCGTTTAGCTTGGGACGCACCCCACCTCTCAAAGACTTGGCCTTTGAGGACAGGGGGTCAACCGCACTACTTGCATTTTTGGCGCGAATGATATCTTTGGCTACTTTCAAGACTTTTTGTACCTCTTGCCAATCATTTTTTGAAGGAATCTTGTCGGGCTCCTCAGCATCTTCATTGAAGTTCCCTTTTTCTTGGACTTCCAACAAGCTGTCCAAAATTGCTCGACTGTCCCCTCCTTCACCAGAATCTTTCCTTGACGAAGATGGTACTTTAGGTAGTATATTCCCCCAATCTAATGGCAACCCCTCACTTGGTGAAAAGTCCAGCAGAGCTACTTCTTCTTTATCTAAAGTGCGCTCTAACATGTCTTGCAGCACTCCGAGTGTTATATTCCCTCCACTATTACGGATTGTAATAATAGACTCAGCTATCCTTGAACTTATGCCCGGAATCCTTAGGAGTTCCTCTTTCGAAGCAAAATTAACACAAATTCTTTCGCTGCAACCTGCCATTATTTTTGTTCTTACTTGGTAGCCCAAAGATATAACGACGACTAATGCAGGAATTAGTTATAATTCGTGCAATTGGATTCAGTGAAGTTCAGCTAAAGTATGTCAAGTCAATCAGTCGTTAGACAGCAGACTTGCAATTATTTTACATTCGAAATTACTTTAATGTATTACAGACAATTATTTCCTTCCCGAAAAATAATTTACATTTATTAAAGCAATTCAGATTAAAATTGTGATAGAATATTTACTTAGTAATTCAAAAATCAATAACGAAAATAAAATACAAAAATCTGACTTTGTTGTTTATAACTACAATGAGAATCTTTACCTCTAATTGTAAAATTAAATATATAGTGAGACTTAGCCTTCAACTATATACGTACAAACAAAACATCAAACAAGAGTAAATCTACTTTGTGTATTGACCTTGAAAAACAACAATGCAAATAAATTTAATCAATTATACTGAACCGCTGAAAATATACCAAAAATTTAACCCAGATATTCTTCAAAAATATTTAAAATATAATGCTGAACTGGCACAGTTTTCACGTGCGAAACAGATCCAGGGCGGAAGCTTAGCTTTCCGATACGCATGCGTCGTAAGTCCGAATATCCGAAGTTTCTAAACTTACCAAAAGAGTACTCTGAATACTCAATTTTAGCAAATTTCCACATTAAATAATCTAAACGTACAGTGCTTGTTCAATCCAAACCAACAGTCCCTTTTCCCCCTCCCAAATATTGGAAATACTTAGATTTCAATATTTGAAAACCAAAGTTTTTATGGTTGAGAAAATCGCTGGTTTACCTCCGGATTGCGTAGAATTCCTACGAAGTTGACGTGAATTCGAATAGTAGCTGCCACCATTAAAGTGTTCTGCTTACCTTGAAACACTTTCCCTGTACGGATGACCATTTATATCTCTCAGATTCTTCGGATTTATCTTGCCGTTCTAATTACCTTCTTACAAGATGGCGGCTAGGAATCGTTCTCGTCTTGCCCGGACTAAATCTCGTACCTTCCGGGAACGGTATGTTCCGGATCACGGTTACACTACCATACCTCACCACAGAAGACTCGTCTAGACAAGATCTTTTATGACTGATACCTTTTATATATATGATAGCCGATCTGGCCCCAAGCCAATCTGTTTTCTGGTCAATCTGGCCCCATTTTTAGCTCGACTATTCGATAAGAATAAGTAGAGCTATTGCAGTCACCCGAGCGTCGGCGTAACCACTTATGTTAAAGTTTTTGTAATAGTTCAAATATTTTCAAAGTCCATAGACATATGGCTTTGAAACTTTGCACACTTGTTCACCATCATGACCCCAACCTGTAGACAGGAGGAGGTAACTCTATCAAGCATTTTGACAGAATTATGCCCCTTTTTCGACTTAGAATTTACGTTAAAGTTTTTGTAATAGTTCAAATATTTTCAAAGTCCATTGACATATGGCTTTGAAACTTTGCACACTTGTTCAACATCATGACCCCAACCTGTAAACAGGAGGAGGTAACTCTATCAAGCATTTTGACAGAATTATGCCCCTTTTTCGACTTAGAATTTACGTTAAAGTTTTTGAAATAGTTCAAATATTTTCAAAGTCCATTGACATATGGCTTTGAAACTTTACACACTTGTTCACCATCATGACCCCAACCTGTAAACAGGAGGAGGTAACTCTATCAAGCATTTTGACAGAATTATGCCCCTTTTTCGACTTAGAATTTACGTTAAAGTTTTTGTAATAGTTCAAATATTTTCAAAGTCCATTGACATATGGCTTTGAAACTTTGCACACTTGTTCACCATCATGACTCCAACCTGTAAAGAGGAGGAGGTAACTCTATCTAGCATTTTGACAGAATTATGCCCCTTTTTCGACTTAGAATTTACGTTAAAGTTTTTGTAATAGTTCAAATATTTTCAAAGTCCATTGACATATGGCTTTGAAACTTTGCACACTTGTTCACCATCATGACCCCAACCTGTAAACAGGAGGAGGTAACTCTATCTAGCATTTTTTTTACTATCAAGCACTAAGAATAGTCGAGCGTTGCTGTCCTACCGACAGCTCTTGTTATTATTATAATATTTATTCAGTACAACTTATTTAACTTTTTGTACTCGAGAAAAAATACTGATAGCAACCCCAGTAAGATACATATATGCCTTTGAAAATAATATTCAATACAATATGCCAAAATGACTTTCTTTTATTGAAGGGGACTCACACAGTAGCCTAGAACCCAGAAAGATTGATGCACTCTGCAGGAAGAGAATTGTTGATGTTGGTTTTGGAAGTGGACCACATGTTTTAGCTGTATCAGACAGTATGTTTTAAAAAGAAAAGAAAATTCAATCAAAATATTTAGCAGTCACATTTTATGAAATAACCACTTCAAATTTGATTATAAAGTAAAATTTAATTCTGAAAGAGAAAATGTATAAATTAAGCTATATCTGGGATTTTTCTTATTGAATTATATATGGTAACACTGTTTTATATCTGATTATTTAACATCCATGAATCAGAATATTTACATATTATTATGCTGCTGTAATATTCAATAACTTTAAGTGCTGCTTGGACCATTCAGCAATGACTTTGTGCTTGAACTAAAAAAAATATACATTTACATATTTCTTTTTATTAAGGTATTTTTAGAAGACTTACTGACTTAGTATTCTTTTTTCAAATTCAAGCTGTAATTTTGTAAACTACAGACAGCAAGTATACCATAAAAATCCTATTAAATGCCCCTCCCCTAAAAAAATTATATTATGCCCCAGAAACTACATGTAGTCCAATAAGGACACAGGAGGGTGGTTTATATAAGTTATAAATTAATTATCCTTAATCACGGTTCCTGTAAACCTTTACTTACTGTTAACAGTTTGGTTAAAAATGTAAATAACAGGTAATTATGTTAACTAAATAAGATATTTTTATAGCTGGAGAGGTGTATAGCTGGGGCCACAATGGGTACTGCCAGTTGGGCAATGGAGGTTCAACACAGGGAGTTATGCCAGTACTGGTCAACACAAACTTACAGGGGAAGAAGGTATCCAAGGTTGCATGTGGGAGTCACCATTCCCTGGCTTTAACAATGGATGGAGAGGTAACAATATTGATGCTTTTACACTTTTAGAATTCTTAATTTTCCATCTGTTAATTTTATTAGAGTGATATTTAACAAATTGATATTGTAATATCAAAGGCATTGATAGATACTGTTTCTTTTTGGTCATAAACCATCTGAGCTTCATTACAGTAAGAAAAGTTAATTTGTATGGGTATACAACTGTAAATGTATTTTGACCTATTAGTCAATTTAATGATATACTGAAAGAACTTAACCAATATATTTAACCTTGTTGCGCATGAAGAAAAGTGAGTAGTTAACTGAATTATTTTTGCTTTTTGTGGCTATTTTTTTCAAGAATCATTAATTATTTTGTAGATTTATGCCTGGGGACAGAATAACTGTGGTCAGGTCGGATCAGGCACTACAACTAATCAGCCAACTCCTAGAAAAGTCATAGCTGTTATTGGTAAGATATGTTGTTGTTGTTTTTCGGTCATATGTAATATGCTAGGGTCAACCGTGGCCAAGTGTTTAACGTCATTGATTTCTAACAACTTGCCTCTCACTGCTGTAGATTTGAGCTACCCAAGCGTCATCAGATTCAACCTGTTAAAAAAAGCTATCCAGGTAGCTTATGGAACATCAGTGGTTCTACTTGAGTGCATGTTTGTGTATGAAACAATGCACTGAAAAGCACTTGAGGTCTTCCGTCAGCAGAAAAGCTGGAAAGTCGCATTTATAAGTTACCTATACCGTGCTGATGCGACGTAAAACCCAACAACTACAAAAAATATGAAAAGACTACTAATTTGATTTTTTTTTAGTTTCAGGGGATATTTGTTATTCATAACATTTAATTATAGATCTGGTAGTCGAGACTCGATTATTGTAGTTAAATAATAACTAATTAAAATTGAAGAAAGTAAATACTTAATTTTTCATTACATGTGTGGACTTTTCCAGTTTTCAGCAGTGAAAAATCTAGCCATGCATTTTTTATTTCATTATTAGATCAACAGCTCACACAAAAATATCACAAACAAACACATTTGTTCTTTATGAAAACCAGGTCAACTGGTGACCATGTTTTATACCAGTCTTGCAGTTGGATAGGCCGTCCGTTAATTTGAATAAAACTGTAAACACTGGAATTGTCCAATTAAGAGAACAATTTGCAGCTGCCAAATTATTGACATGAGAATTCTTTATAGTTTAAATTATAATTGCTGTCATCTGACTCAACTTTACACGTCCTATTTCTTATCTAAGCATTGAAGCACCAGTAAACATATTGATATCATGGTGGACTGGTATTGGTAGGTTTTACTCCGGATCATGGCAGTAAGCTACATTGAATTTACTAGAGCACAGTTCTGCCATTGCATCATTCAAGGGCAGGCTGTCAAGCAGTTTACCAGTACTTGTTGCAAGGAACTGATTACTTCTGTACATATAAGAACAGAGGTACAGTGCGAATGACCGTAGAAAGGATTTCATGATCAATTACAACGGAAGTGACCTGTGCAGTCCAGGAATCGAACCTGACTCACCTGATTCACAGTCCAATGCTCTACCTATTGAGCTAACCAGACGGCCTTTACATGTTAATATAAGTTAATTTTGTTTATATAGGTTCAAGAGTTGCTATATCCATAGCTTGTGGACAGACATCTTCAATGGCTTTAATGGAAAAAGGGGAGGTAAGTCTTTAAGTCCATATCAGTGATCTAAATATAATAAGCTTTAAAACCAATGATTAAATTTCTTAGTGAAACAGATACCTTAACTTTCAATTTTCTTCTTATGTATTTTTCTTTTCTTTTTTTTTTTCATATTTATACCCATTTTTCTGAATTAATATCATTGTCAGGTATGAACTGTGTACAAAGTACACTTGTTAATTGTGTAATAATTATAGTTTTCAGATATATGGCTGGGTTTATAATGATAATTGATAATTATATATTTCAGGTTTATGGCTGGGGTTATAATGGTATTAATTGATAATCATATATTTCAGGTTTATGCATGGGGTTATAATGGTATTAATAATAATATTTTTCAGGTATATGGCTGGGGTTATAATGGTAACGGACAATTAGGACTTGGGAATAATGTGAACCAGCCCAATCCATGTCGTGTCCAGATGTTACAAAACACTATAGTATCACAGGTAATACAATTATTCTTACCTAACAATGCAGATTGATATCTTAAGTTATGTACAGAGGCTTTTGTGGTTGACTGAATAAGGTTACCCTTTCCTACTCATAGCTTTGAGTTCAAATTAATCCAGGGAAGGTGAAACTTGTTTCCTGTCAATAATATAGCGCTGTGTTAAAAAAAGAACAATGTTGACATGCCCTAACCCTGGCTCACAAATATTAAGCTGTTTATAGATTGTGTAGGTATGCCCTCACTCTGACTCACATATATAATGCTATTTATAGATTGTATGTGGATATTCCCTCACTCTAGCCCACATACACATATATAATGCTATTTATAGACTGTGTGGATATTCCCTTATTCTGGCTCACATATATAATGCTTTTTATAGATTGTGTGTGGATATTCCCTCACTCTAGCCCACATATATAATGCTATTTATAGATTGTGTGTGGGTATGCCCACACTCTTGCTCTCATATATAATGCTATTTATAGATTTTGTGTGGATATGCCCTCACTCTGGCTCACATGTATTGCTTTTAATAGAGTGTGTGTGGATATTCCCTCACTCTGGCTCACATATAGAATGCTATTTATAGATTGTGTGGATATTCCCTTATTCTGGCTCACATATAGAAAACTATTTATAGATTGTGTGTGGATATTCCCTCACTCTAGCCCACATATATAATGCTATTTATAGATTGTGTGTGGTTATTCCTACACTATAGCTCACATATATAATGCTATTTATAGATTGTGTAGGTATGCCCTCACTCTGACTCACATATATAATGCTATTTATAGATTGTGTGTGGATATGCCCTCACTCTGGCTCATATATATAATGCTATTTATAGACTGTGTGGATATTCCCTTATTCTGGCTCACATATAGAAAACTATTTGTAGATTGTGTGTGGATATTCCCTCACTCTAGCCCACATATATAATGCTATTTATAGATTGTGTGTGGATATTCCTACACTCTAGCTCACATATATAATGCTATTTATAGATTGTGTGGATATTCCCTTATTCTGGCTCACATATAGAAAACTATTTGTAGATTGTGTGTGGATATTCCCTCACTCTAGCCCACATATATAATGCTATTTATAGATTGTGTGTGGATATTCCTACACTCTAGCTCACATATATAATGCTATTTATAGACTGTGTGGATATTCCCTTATTCTGGCTCACATATAGAAAACTATTTGTAGATGTGTGTGGATATTCCCTCACTCTAGCCCACATATATAATGCTATTTATAGATTGTGTGTGGATATTCCCCTCACTCTAGCCCACATAATATAATGCTATTTATAGATTGTGTGTGGATATTCCCTCACTCTAGCCCACATATATAATGCTATTTATAGATTGTGTGTGGATATTCCCTCACTATAGCTCACATATATAAATGCTTTTTATAGATTGTGTGTGGATATTCCCTCACTCTAGCCCCACATATATAATGCTATTTATAGATTGTGTGTGGGTATGCCCACACTCTTGCTCTCAATATTATAATGCTATTTTATAGATTTTGTGTGGATATGCCCTCACTCTGGCTCACATGTATTGCTTTTAATAGAGTGTGTGTGGATATTCCCTCACTCTGGCTCACATATAGAATGCTATTTATAGATTGTATGTAGATATTCCTTCATTCTGGCTCACATATATAATTCTATTTATAGATTGTGCGTGGATTTTCCCTCACTATAAGCTCACATATATAATGCTATTTATAGACTGTGTGTGGATATTCCCTCACTCTAGCCCCACCCACATACATATAATGCCTATTTATAGATTGTGTGTGGATATGCTCACACTCTGGCTCTAACAGGATGAAGGGGATCTATTCTCGTGGGGAGCAAACTCATATGGTCAATTAGGCACAGGAAATAAAGCAAATCTAGTCACTCCTTCTCGAGTTACAGCAGATGGTGAAAGGTAATTATTTCCATGCCTAATTCAGCATTCTTAAGTCTTTTGTTTGTATATCAAGATAGATTTTTGTGCTGTTAAAACATAGTCTCAGGGTAGGCATTAAATACATTGTGCTTTTTAAATGACATTGTTTCATTGCCCTTATGTATGAAGTTTATGTTTTTGATATGTGTGTACATATTTATGGATTTCTTTATCTTGTTTAAAGGCCATATTGTAAATAAGATATGTATTTCTTAATAAGTTACCTTCTTGAAATAAAGTGTTTATTATTATTATTATTAAGTTGAAAATTCATTCATCTCTATAAGAAAATAGTGCCAAATAGAAATATAAGTTTTTGTTGATCATTTTACATTTTGAGCTATAATTATTAATGAGTATTATGCAAAAAAATATACTGGTGAGTGAAACAGCTGAAATATTAATTTCTGTGGTAATTGTTTTACCATTTACTTGGCAGAGTGTTGTTGCCGCCTTAAACACTTACCTCCAAGCCAGGTTTTCCATTGTATAGAGGCAGTCAGTGTACATTCCTATACTTCCAGTAAAACTGAAGGTTTTGATTAATCAATCATATCAACTGTTTTGTAATGTGTCACAAATCAGAAAAAGTAATTGAAATTGGATGCACTTAAATCTGTATTATAAAACTGAGACCCTGAGGCAAAAATGTTGACCAGCATAAAGTAAGTACACCAGAAGTCACTTTACAAATGTGTGACTGTGACGAAAACTTGAAATTACGATTCTAAAATTCCTTAAATTATGAAAGATTTGTTCCACAGGCACTAGACACAATCAATTTACCTATACTGGCATGCGAGCAGTTCCCGTACAAAAATCATAGTTACTTAAACATTATTTTTTATTACGCTCACTCACCAAAATTTGAATGTTACACATCAATATTCAGCTCGTCACACAAATCATGGAAATTCCATCATGTTCTAAACATAGAATAACCCTTACTTATGAGGCCTCATATGGGGTACCGAAGTTATCCATTATTTTGTATGAAGAGAAGTAGTTCCCGTACATAAAATCTAACCCATTATAATTATACAATTTTATTATATCGGACCTATTTTTCATTTACAATTGTTGAACAGACCATTATCTAAGAGAATAAATATGTGTAATTTAGGAAATAGAGCGTAGACTAAACGCGGGTATCAATTACCCGGTACCGTTACCTCAACGCATTCACATGCAATAGCATGCTTGTATGCATGATATTTTACGCATCAAAGCCATAAAATTATTATATATAGTAATATTGGTCAACATTCTGATAATTAAAGATAATAAACAAGTTTACATCACATTGCCTACTTATTTGTAAACAGGTGGTACTGGTGGAAAACCCTTTAACAAGCCTCACGTGTAAGTATTTTTGCGCATGCGCGCAAGGACGGAATCCCCCAGAGAAAACAAGGTCACGTTTTGACGACGCATAGGTGAAAGTGATTTTAAATGAGACTTTATATACGTACTGCCGAACTGACACTTAGATTTTGTTTCGTTTATGTATCTGCTTGATTTGAAATTAATTTTTGAAGAATGCAAGTAAAAATCAAGCGTTTAAATGAAAAATACGGGTACTGCTTCTGTACGGGAACTGCTCGCATGCCAGTATACACTTATAATACTATATACATGTATAAAGAATATTCTTTATATATATGTGCGTATATAGGAATATTGATTGTGTCTTGTGCTAATGGTTTGTTCAGTGCAGTCACAGTTCATTTAACAAATACAACAGGTTCAAGCTGGAAGAGCCTATTATAATAATTGGTTAATTCCAACAAAAATGAATTTTTTAAACAATTTTTTAGGTTTATCGAAGTTGCTGCTAGTCACTATTCTCACATTTCTGCTGCTATGACAGAGACAGGGAAGGTTTACATGTGGGGACAATCGAGGGGTCAGTCGATAACGTCCCCACTTCTCACACAGTTCAGCTGTACAGATGATGTATTTTCAGCATTTTCAACTCCTCCTGTTACATGGAGAACCCATGCTGTCAGTGAGTAATGTTTTGTTACCTATACATAGCTGAAATCTGACATATTGCTTACCCATCTTAAAGTTATGACTTAAAATTGATTGTTGAACAATCTTTTTGTTTGGGATATTATTTGCAGGTTAAAGATATACAATGCTCAAACTTGATATTGCTACACAGTCTCTTTGTAAATATATAATGTTTATATACCTGTATAGCTGAACTCTGATTTTACTTGGGACTAAAAAACTGACTATAGAACGATCATTGTTTGAGATATTGTTTGTAGCTTTAAGTTAATTTTTTAAAAATATACCATGCTCAAATTTGTTATTATGAGTTATGTCCCTTTTAAACTTGTTATTGATAGTTGTTGCCCTTAACAGACAAGCGTTAACATTGCATGCAGTGCTCTTGTTCTGTATTTCAGATCAAATGAGGGGCAGTAAAGTTGTTAATTGTATATCACAAGCGTTTGATGATCCTGTAAGTTTTCTTACTGTTATAAATATCTCTATACAATATTTTAAATATATAAGATATGACAAATAAAACACAAAAATGTATCAATGATGAATATATAGTTGTGAATGAATATTTAATAAATACAAGATGATAACAGAAAAGAAAATTGTCAAAGAGATTATGACAAAGGATCTCGGACATTGAGTTTAATTTTTATTTGTCTCTGACCGCTGAATTACACTTAGAAAATTTGTGAGATTAGTAGTTGGTCACTTGCCAAGAGATTGGTAATTTCTGAAAAGATATCTAGGAAAGCAGGTTAGGTGGACTGACTGTCCGAGATGTGACCAAATAAATTTGATAAAAACAGCTTAAAAAAAAACAGATTAAAATACAAAATTGCTTTCATTCAGTTGTAAATGTAGAAATCTATATGTTTCTTCTTTTATTTAGATCACAAGTGATGTGAAGTTTAAAGTTGAGGGGAGAGATATATGTGTTCATAAATCAATACTCAAAATAAGGTAAGATATGTGTTTGTTAATCATTACTCAAGATTTGGTAAAATATGTGTTCAAACATCAATCAGTACTCAATATATGGTTAGATAAGTATTCATAAATCAACACTCAAGATGAAGTAAAATATGTGTTCATAAGTCAATACTCAAGATAAAGTAAAATATGTGTTCATGAATCAATACTCAAGATAAAGTAAAATATGTGTTCATAAATCAATACTCAAGATAAAGTAAAATATGTGTTCATAAGTCAATACTCAAGATAAAGTAAAATATGTGTTCATAAATCAATACTCAAGATAAAGTAAAATATGTGTTCATAAATCAATACGCAAGATAAAGTAAAATATGTGTTCATAAGTCAATACTCAAGATAAAGTAAAATATGTGTTCATAAATCAATACTCAAGATAAAGTAAAACATGTGTTCATAAATCAATACGCAAGATAAAGTAAAATGATAAAGTAAAATATGTGTTCATAAGTCAATACTCAAGTTAAGGTTAGATATATATTCATATATAAATAAGGTAAATTATGTGTTTTATTAGGTTAATTTTGATTTACTCTTTTTCTATGTATATATATTTTGTATTTATATATTTCTTTCATCTGTTTTTATTTTTGAATTAAATGTATATTATTTTACAGATGTGAGCATTTTAGATCCATGTTTCAGCCATGTTGGGATGAAGCTGGCAAAGAGTAAGTTGTTTAACATTTAATTACCTTAAGTTGTAGGGGCATGCATGGCTATGTGGTTAGGGTAGTTAATTTTAAACCACTTGCCTTTTAACGCTGTGAGATCAAATCACGACAGGAACTGTGGATTCTGTCATGTAAGAAAGCTATCCATCCAACTAGCTTAAGGAACGTTGTTGGTTCTACTCAGGTGCTTGTTTATGTCTAAAATAATGCACGGAAGGGCACCTGAGGTCTTCCTCCACCAGTAAAGCTTGAAAGTTGCCATATGACCTATATTGCGTTGGTGCAACATAAAACACAAACAAAAAGTTGAATATACAATGAATGAATTATCAAAAAGTGTAATAAATGATTTAGATAAAATTGATTCTTTGCTTGAGTAAGATATATAATTGTTACTGTCAGTGTTGTAAGTTATTCTTGGTCTTCATTCTCTCTCTTTAGTGTAATGTGCATATTTTTGTTATAATTAACCACCCAATGCAATATTTTCTGACAAACACACTGTTTTATTGTTTGGATTATTTATCATAATGATTATACACAATAAAATTGTTTTTGATAAGTCTTACTTGAATAATGATGCTAGTGGGTGCCAATGACCAATAGGCAAAAGGTGAATAGCTTTAAATAACTTGCCCCTGGCCCTCACAGCCATGAGTTTGAATCCCACTAAGGACTTTGAATTCTTTCTGTGACAGTATCATTCAGCTACATTAAGCTAACGGATCATAGATGGTTCTACTCGGGTGTATGCTTGTGATCAGAGGTTCTTCTCAAGTCTTCTTTTATCTATGTATGACCTTTACAAAGCTGGTGTGACTTCAAAATATAACTGATAACAATAAGTAATGATTTTTTGTTTCAGTGTTGTAGAGATTACTCAGTATCCGTATAATGTATATAGAGCATTCCTGAAATATTTATACACAGATCATGTAGACCTGATGCCAGATGAAGCTATAGGTATGTATGCATGTATGATGAGGCTGTTAGTATATATGAACCTGTATGTTTATGTATGATGAACCTATTGGAATTTATGAACCCGTTTGTTTATGTATGATAAAGCTTTTGGTATTTATGAGCCTGTATGTTTATGTATGAGGAATGTATTGGTATATATGAACCTGTATGTTTATTTATTATATAATGAAGCTATTGGTGTATATATTGAGGCCATTAGCATATATGAACCTGTCTGTTTATGTATGACAAAGCTTGGTATTTCGGAAACTTTGTTAATATATGATGAAGCTAATGGTATATATGAACCTGTATGTTTATGTATGATGAAGGTATTGGTGTATATGAACCTGTATGTTTATGTATGATGAAGATATTGGTGTAATGGAACCTGTATGTTTATGTATGATGAAGGTATTGATAATTGGTTAATATGAACCTGTATGATATGTATAATACATAAAAATACAGGCTCATATATACCAAAAGCTTCATTATACATGAAAATTCAGGATCATTAATATAAATAGCTTTATCATACATAAAAATATATGGTCATTAATACCAATTGCTTCATAATACATAAACAGACAGGTTTCTAAATACCAATAGCTTCATAATACAGTATTATGAAGCTATTGGTATTTATGAACGTGTATGCTTAAGCCTTATGTATGATGAAGCAATTGGTATTTATGAACCCGTTTGTTTATGTATGATAAAGCTGTTGGTATATATGAACCTGTATGTTTATATATAATGAAGCCATTGGTATATATGAACCTGTATATTTATGTATAATGATGCTATTGGTGTATATGATGAAGCCATTAGCATATATGAACATGTCTGTTTATGTATGATGAAGCTTGGTATTTCAGAAACTTCATGTTTATACATGATGGAGCTATCAGCATATATGAACCTGTATGTTTATGTATGATGAAGCTATTGGTATATATGAACCTGTATGTTTATGTATGATAAAGCTGTTGGTATATATGAACCTGTATGTTTATGTATGATGAAGCTATTGGTATTTATGAACCTGTATGTTTATGTATGATAAAGCTATTGGTATATATATGAACCTGTATGTTTATGTATGATGAAGCTATTGGTATATATGAACCTGTATGTTTTTGTATTATGAAGCTATTGATATACATGATATATGAACCTGTATGTTTATGATGATGAAGCTTTTGGTATATATGAACCAGTATGTTTATTTTGAATAAGCTATTGGTATATATGAACCTGTATGTTTATGTATTATGAAGCTATTGGTATATATGAACCTGTATATTTATGGACAATATAGCTATTGAAATCATATTTTCCAGTGGGAAATATCCAGCAATCATTTCTATAGGGGCCTAACTTTTGTTTCATTTTAATGAACAATGGCATATTTGTCTCCTGTATAAACCAATATAAAAAAAGAGTGAGGCTTGGCTAAATTCTATTGTGAGCCGATATGAAGTTTTGAATATCTTTTGCTAGATTTAGCCAATTTCTATTGTGAGCCAATATAAAGAATTGTATATTTTCAGGTTTGCAAGATTAAGCAATATTCTATTTTTTTGCCAATATGAAGTAGGATGTATTGTATATTTTTTCAGGTTTGCTAGATTTGGCCAATTCCTATTGTGATATAAAGTATTGTATGCTTTTTAGGCCAATTCTTATTGTGAGACAATATAAAGTATTGTATATTTTTTCAGGTTTGCTAGATTTAGCCAATTCCTATTGTGAGCCAATATTGAAGAGACACTGTGAGCAGATTATAAGACATGGAATCTCAGTCAATAATGTGGCCATGTTATATGCTGCAGCAATAAAATATGAAGCTAGGGTATGTAAAATTTGTATATTTATAGGGCGTTTGTAGCAGAGTGGTTAAGGCCCCTGATTTCAAACCACTTGCCCCTCACTGCTGTGGGTTTGAATCCCACTAGAAAGTTTTAATTTTTTCAAGTGAGAAATATATCCAGCAAGCTTTGGTGGTTCTACTCAGATGCTCGTTTGTGGATGAAATAATGTACCGAAGGTCTTTCTCCACCAGTAAAGCTGTACAGTTGCCATATGACCTTTACTGTGTTGGTGTAACATAACCTCAAAATATGTATGTTTGTTTGTATGGGTGAAACTTTTATTATTTTATACAGTTTTATATAGGGGAAGAGTCCTTATAAAAGTCATAAAATTATTATAGTCTGAAATTAGTTGATATTAACCAATTCTTTAGTGTTCATGATACTCGATAAGGTCATATGTTTAGACTTGTCATTGTTAAAGAGTTTCCATTTATGTTACTCTTGTTATTTCTTAATGTATGGTTTAAAATTGTGAGTATAAGAATGAAAAGAAAAAATAATTGAGATCAGTCTGTTTGGTTTATTCATTATTTTTCAATAAATAAACTAATCAAAGGCGTGAATTCTATTTTTTTTTTTAAGACAAGCTTTATGGACTGCAGACCTGATAACATATTCCAGGTCTTGCCAGTAGCTTGATGCTTTGGACTGTTGAAATGTTACATAATTCGTCATCTTAGTGCAAGAACTGGTTAATTCCTATTAAATTTAGAAGGACTTAAACCAGTACTGCACTAAGGTGATGATATGTATATAATATGTGCTTTTAAATTACAGGAGCTGGAGGACTTCTGTTTTCGATTCTCACTCAATCACATGACTGCGGTAACCCAGACTAACGCTTTCCAGGATCTCGACGAGTCTATACTAAAAGCATTCATCAAGAAAGCTGGGCAGTCTGGTGCTTTTCGGTACTGAAATATACCAGTAGAAAAAAAACAGTGTTAAAAGTATTATTGATTAATACATATGAGCCATGTCATGACAAAACCAACATGGTGGGTTTGCGACCAGCATGGATCCAGACCAGCCTGCGCATCTGCCCAGTCTGATCAGGATCCATGCTGTTCGCTTACAAACCCTAATACAAGTAGAGAAACTGATAGCAAACAGCACTGATCCTGATCAGACTGCGCGGATGCGCAAGCTGGTCTGGATCCATGCTGGTCGCAAACCCACTATGTTGGTTTTGTCGTGACACAGCTCAATTATTTATTTATTGACAATAGATGTACATGTTTATTGCATAGATAAATATATTAAAATGCATTATGATAAATGCATGTAAAAAAGCCCTGTACTTGTAAATGTGCTGTTATTGTTGTGCTTTCTTTTTGTTTTGTTTGTTTTTTTCAGTTTGGAGGTTATAGCTATGTTATCAATGTCAGGTGTTTTCATTACTGTAGAATTTGCTTCCTGTAAAATACATCTTTAATAGAAGTCAGTATTACAACTACTTGTTTATTGTTCGGCTATTACTGTTATAAATTTAAAGATTTCCGATATTTCTAAGTAAGTTATAGATTGCGCTAAACTGTCTGGGGGCAAAAAAATGACCCAAAAAGTAGGATAAATTGACTTTCTTTGTTGTACCAAAGGTGAAACAATTTATCAACTTTTTATGCTTTCATTTAGGAGATGAGGAATATAGACCTACCCTTATCAGAACAGACAAGGACATATCTTTAATTCACCCTGTTACAAGAAGTTATCATATTGCACAACATGGGGTTATTACAAAATTTACAATACCAAATAAAAGAATTCAATATCTGGTCAATGAATATAATTATATTACAGGGAAAAAAACATGTTATAAAACTTTTTGAAAAAGTAGTTGTTATTACTAATTGATATACTTTTATATATACAAATGTACTTTTTAAAATGTTAATGCACGGTCAACTGAGTTTTTTTTTTTTACAAATCAACCAATCAAAGGCCTGAATTCTATATTAGTTTTTGTTTGAAAACTGATGCAATTTAGACTGAATCATACAGGGCCCGCTTTTGATTCATTAATATTGTCAGGGGCTTCCATGGCTGAGTAGTTAGGGTCGTTGACTTCAAACCACTTGCCCCTCACCGCTGGGTTCGAATCCAGACAGGCACTTTGGATTCTTTTTCATGTTAGGAAGCTATCCAGCTAACTTACTTAATGTCGGTGGTTCTAGTCGGGTGCCCGTTTGTGCCTAAAATAATGCACGGAATGGCACCTGAGGTCTTCCTCCACCAGTAAAGCTGGAACGTCACCATATGACCTATACTGTGTCGGTGTGACGTAAAACCCAATCAAAAAAAAAAATAATAATAATATTGTACATTTTTTTTTTTCGGAAGTATTTACTGTACTAGATACTTATCATTGCACTGTCAGTATTAAAGGTGAAAATATTGTCATGTTGTCTGTATTGTACCTATATGTAATGCTTCTTTGATGTGCTTAATCTGTGAGCTTTTTTCTCTTTCAGGCAGTGTTAACTTAATAGGAGTAATTAACAATGCACTAATCATTTATTACCCTTACCTCTTAGGCACCAGTTAAACCAGGCACCAGTTAAATTCATGCCCCAAATCACATGGTAAAATTCCTGCCTTTTTCTTCTTTATAACAGGTTATGCTCACCTGGTAAAATTCATGCCCCAAAAAGGATAATCACATAGTAAAATTCTAATAACAGGTTATGCTATAATAAATTTTTGGCTTCAAGATGAAGTAACTGAATTCACATTGCAGTTCAAGAATATTTGTAACGGATCTTAGCTCATCTACTTATGATAAACCATCAGTCTAATGGCTGTGTGTGAAATTTGGAAACACATTGGTTTAATAGTATAGTATTCAATATTATATAGTCAATCAATAACTAAAAAGCATTTTTGTATTTTCTCAGCATTAAGCTTTAAGTATTTGAATTAGTTCAAAAAGTTCAATATTAAGTTAGATTGAGATTTAAATGATGGTATTTTGATATTTCTTAATACTACATACATGTATGAAACATGTTTCAGGGAGATATTACAAAAACTGATCAGTTTGCATTTTTCTAGAATGCACATGAAAAATTGAATATATTGTTAAGAATTCACATGAACTATTGAATATATTGTAAATAATGCACATGAAATATTGAATATTTTGTAAAGAATGCACATGGAATATTGAATTTATTGTAAGGTTTGTCCATGGAATATTGCATATGTTGTAAAGAATGCCCATGGAATATTGAATGCCAGGGTATATGAAATTTACTGTACAGAATACATACGGAATATTAAATATATTGTAAAGAATGCTCATGGCATATTGAATTTATTGTATACAATGCCCATAGAATATAGAATTTATTGTATAGATTGCTCATGGAATTTTGAATTCATTGTATACAATGCCCATGGAATATTTAATGTATTGTAAAAAAAATATCCATGGAATATTGAATTTATTGTAAAGAATGCCCTCGAATATTGAAAATATTGAAAACAATGTCCATGGAATATTGAACTTATTGTATACAATGCCCATGGAATATTGTATCAATAGTAAAGAATATCCATGAAATATTGTATTTATTGTATGCAATCCCCAAGAATATTGAATATTTTGTTAAAATGCTCATGGAATATTGAATACATATATTGTATAGAATGCCACTGAATATTCAATTTATTGCATACAATTCATATGGATTAAGGAATCAAGAATGTATATGGAATATTGAAAATACATTGAATATTGAATACAGGATGACCTTGGAATATTGTTGTCACATGACATATTGAACGGATTTATATTATCAGTCACATTCCAGATATTACTATTTTAATCTACAGTCACTCAATATAACAAAATACCTATGTAGATTAACAATGTTATTGGATAGTTATGTAAACTTAAACATGAGAGTCTTAAAAAATACCTTATTAACAAATATAAAAGTATAATAAGTTTCTGTTATGATTATAAAGAATATAATTTTTTGCTCTGTATCATAAATTAAATTGGTTTTTAAGATTTTTGTTGGGTTATATTACCCCGGAGAAACAGTTGTTGTTTAAACTATTTATATAACACAGACTGCTTTATGATTATATGAGCCGCGTCACGACAAAACCAACATAGTGGGTTTGCGACCAGCATGGATCCAGACCAGCCTGCGTATCCGCGCAGTCTGATCAGTATCCATGCTGTTCGCTTACAAACCCTATAACAAATAGAGAAACTGAAAGCGAACAGCATGGATCCTGATCAGACTGCGCGGATGCGCAGGCTGGTCTGGATCCATGCTGGTCGCAAACCCATTATATTGGTTTTGTCATGACGCGGCTCATATACAAAATGGCCTTTTATACATAGCCATGTAACCTGTCAAAAAGACTTTCAAAAGAATTTGAATATTCTGTAGTGTACCATTCATTTTCTTGTACGGAAAATAAGAATCCATTTATAATCATAAGCAGTGTTTAACATAAAAACGTACAATTATGCAATGAAAATTTATGTTACAAAATGTCAGTAGTATTAGCCTGCTAATGTAGCAATTCATGGGACATGGGTCACGTAAACTTATATTATTCCAAAGATAACATTATCAACTGATGTGTTCATAATACATGTACATTGTAGTGTTAGAAATATTGAAAATTGTCTTTCAATGTTGTTTTGCAAGTGAAGTAAATAAATGATGCCAAAATAAGACCTGGTTTTATTCTTTTTTCTCACTATAAGGGAGTTAGGGGGCATTTAGTTTTGCCGTTGACCTATGTTCTCATGTTGTGTCGCATGTAGCTCTAGAAGTGCTTTAGCCAGTCAACAAAATTTACAGGAATGAAGTTGTGCACCTGGGGTTTCACTTGTGGATTGATTCAGTTTTGTCGGAGTTATTGCCCTTGACTTGACTAAAAATTGGCAAATCAAAGGAACTTCACAAACATAATAAACAATCAAGGAAAAAGTTGTCTTAAAGGGGTTTATTTAAGGCACTTCATTTGAAAAATAATTCTTAAGGCATGTAAGAATCGTAAAAAATATTACAAACTAGAACTCTGCGAGTCGGATGTGTCGCCTTGTGAACAATATAGTTTAGAAGAAATGGCCAGGACAAAAATGAAATTTGAAAATCAACAAAGGGCAATAAATCAAAAAATAAGAAATGCAGAGTACCAGTTCTTGTGCACTGCACTTCTTCTTAATGAGATCTATCATCCTATGAAGTTTCATGTCCATAGCTTTTATACTTTAGGAGAAATGGCCCGGACAAAAATAAAGTATGAAAATTAACAAAGGGCAATAACTCAAAAAATAAGAAATGCAGAGTACCAGTTCTTGTGCACTGCACTTCTTCTTAATGAGATCTATCATCCTATGAAGTTTCATGTCCATAGCTTTTATACTTTAGGAGAAATGGCCCGGACAAAAATAAAGTATGAAAATTAACAAAGGGCAATAACTCAAAAAATAAGAAATGCAGAGTACCAGTTCTTATGCACTGCACTTCTTCTTAATGAGATCTATCATCCTATGAAGTTTCATGTCCATAGCTTTTATACTTTAGGAGAAATGGCCCGGACAAAAATAAAGTATGAAAATTAACAAAGGGCAATAACTCAAAAAATAAGAAATGCAGAGTACCAGTTCTTATGCACTGCACTTCTTCTTAATGAGATCTATCATCCTATGAAGTTTCAAGTCCATAGATTTTATACTTTAGGAGAAATGGCCCGGACAAAAATAAAGTATGAAAATTAACAAAGGGCAATAACTCAAGAAATAAGAAGTGCAGAGTACCGATTCTTGTGCACTGCACTTCGGGTCATTGTAAGAAGCATGCATACCCAGTTTGAAGTCAATCCGACTTATAATGACTGACTTATGCTCCGGACAAGCTTAATGGGACGCCGACAACTACGCCGCCGACATTAAAAGTAAACCCTATATGTCGCCTTTTTCAAGGCGACACAAAAACTAATCCGAGTAAGTGCTATTTTAAAGCTGCAATTACTGTCCCCAGATGAGCCTACTTATTTAATGAAAATCAAATTGAGTAAAATGCCTTTAACTCACGTCATGTGTGTTTGCTACTCTGATATATTAAATATCACAATGCTGTTTAATTCAATAAATATCTAGGGTGGAGTTGTTGAACAAGTGACATATGATAATGAGACCTCAAGGACCTACATGAAGATTTGCTTGAATTATTATCAATAATAAATAAAATATGAAGTTACAGCAACAAAATGACAGGAGAGATTTAAAATAACAAAATTCAGTCCTTTTACATTTAATATATTTTTATTTCTTTCAAACATATCTTCATTTTCATGTACATGTAGTTTTTTTCTAAATAAAATATTTACATTTGGACAAAATATTCATTATATTTTAAAGAAGAAATTATTATGGAAAAATAACAACAAAAATAATAACAAATAATTATATACAATTGATAGTAACATTTTTTTGTACCTATTTTCTAAAAAATTTATTATCATTCACTGAAAATGTCTACTGCCTCTATAGTAACTTCATACCGCAAACTCCTCGATAAGTACAATACTGTTCATATGCACTGTTGATGTATACATATCTGTCAATCAATAATAGATAAAGGTTTGGAAAAAAAATAATTTTGAGCACATATTTAAAATGACTAGAACTGACCCAAAACAGACATATAGGCTGGTGCCCCAGTCAAGAGGACTAGCCAAAACAATGCTTTTGTTAAGTGATGGACATATTTCATAGCATTGGTTAACATTCAATGTGAAATGCTCAGAAAAAAAAACATTCAAGGGGCATCTATAAACAATTTTTCTTCATAATTGTACACTTATAAAATTAATGTATTTTAATTGAGTCACAGGAACAGGAGTCAGTATAGTTTATACTGTATTACAGTATATATATCTCTGTCCCAATGTATCCTGGATTTATAACACCAAATATTGATATCATTATTATTGATATGCATTGGACTGAATCAATAACAGCTCTTATAACAAGTAAATTTTGCTTTTTAAATTATCAGAAAAAAAAAATAATTGTCTTTTGTTAAGGAGTTTAACATGTACATAAATACATGGAAATTTTATCCAAAAATGCTTTCAATGTATCATCGATTTTTAACAACAAATATTGATATCATTATCATTGATATGAGTTGACAGCTCAAATGCTTAAACTGAATGATCTCACTTTAAAAATTAATGACTCTATTTACCTTAAGCCATGCAAGTCTCTTTTATGATGTCCTTTTTTTCAATTAACAATTTTATTCATAATTATACTAGGTATCTGCAGAAACAATATATAATGAATAAAATAAAAACATTAATTCTTATTACATTGTATTCAATATCAAACATACTTTTTATATATCAAATCGGTTCTGTAAAGGGAGGTAATTCACTGATGGTGGTGCCCGTGGTGGTATTGGCAGTTTTCTCACCAAAGTACAGCAGTAAGTCCTATTGAATTCACCGACATTTCTTCTCTGTATTATATCTATTAAATTAGCTTCATAAAGGGAGGTTATTCAATGAAAGCAATTCTCTCTTCTACATACAATTATTAAATAAGCTATATAAAGGGAGGTAATTCACTGAAAAATTTCTTTTCTCTCTCCTCTATGTACAAACTGTTCAAACAAAGCAAATAAGTCACTACACGACAGATGCACCCGTTGTTGTAAATAAATCCTGTAGACCTCACTGTTTTAACTTTTCCTTTCCAGGGAATTCTTCATTACGAAAAGCAACACCATTAAGTTCATACAAACAGTTTTTACACATTGTTGAATTGAACTAGATAATTTAAGCCATTAATTTCACCCTGCTTAAAGGGTATAGAGCTATATCTCATAAAATTCATCAACAATAGAATTATACTGTTTCCATAAACTTATAGTCGATTCTTGAAAGAGTGGTAACATAGAATGTCTTATCACATAGAATTACATATCACATATTACGGATATATATGTAAAATCCTACATGTATACATTACATTCACAGAATAAAAAGTTCCGGAACAAAATATCATTCTGCCATATAAAGTAGGTTATTATTATCCGTTTGGCAATTATTTTGTGTATAAGTCATTCACTTTTAAGGCAATTTACTACAATATTTCTTTCATACAAGTGCTTTGGAAGGACACTCTTAAAATTCAAACAATAATTTTTGCAGCAGAAATATATCTTCATTAATGAAAAATAATGACCATACTGAAAAACGCTTCATATTCCAATTAAATGATTGTCCGTCGAATTCTGTGAAATCATACTTCATTCTTTAACCTTTTGTGCACACTTCATTAAAACTGCATGATTCAAACTGTCTCTTTTTTTAAAAAAAAATTCTGCTATGTGCTTTCATTTCCAATTGTTTTTATATGGCCACTTGCCAAATAACGATCTTTCATAGATTTTTGTTTCTCCTTTTGTTTCTTTTCTTTACGTAACAGTTTTCTTTTTCTCATTCTTTCCTTTCGGCCATATTCAACATGCTGGCGTAGTCCATAGAATGTTATTCCACCACTAACACAGGCAGCTGCCCTATGTCAGAAAAAAAAAAATATTTATTATATACTTATAAATGAAATATTGAGAAATATTGATGAAATAAAATGCGTATTATTTTCCGTATTTTCACTGGTGTCTTGCCGGACTACTTTCTTTTAAATTTTGCCAGTACACAAAATTTAAGGGAAAGTCTTTCAAATTTTAATGTCAAAAAAGATAAAAATGTATATAATAAACAGAAAATTCAAGTTTTTTCTATAAATACATGATTTATTTTCATCTTGTGGCATGAAAATTACCATATTTCACTCGTGGCTACCGCCACTCATGAAATATTTATTTTCATACCACTCGATGAAAATAAATCATATATTTATAGAAAAAACTTGAATATCCTCTATTTATTTATATCAAAATATTACAACATTAAAACATGAAACATTCCAATAAGAACAAGAGCTGTCAGTAGGACAGCAACGCTCGACTATTCTTAGTGCTTGATAGTAAAAAAAATGCTTGATACAGTTACCTCCTCCTGTTTACAGGTTGGGGTCATGATGGTGAACAAGTGTGCAAAGTTTCAAAGCCATATGTCAATGGACTTTGAAAATATTTGAACTATTACAAAAACTTTAACGTAAATTCTAAGTCGAAAAAGGGGCATAATTCTGTCAAAATGCTTGATAGAGTTACCTTCTCCTGTCTACAGGTTGGGGTCATGATGGTGAACAAGTGTGCAAAGTTTCAAAGCCATATGTCAATGGACTTTGAAAATATTTGAACTATTACAAAAACTTTAACGTAAATTCTAAGTCGAAAAAGGGGCATAATTCTGTCAAAATGCTTGATAGAGTTACCTCCTCCTGTCTACAGGTTGGGGTCATGATGGTGAACAAGTGTGCAAAGTTTCAAAGCCATATGTCTATGGACTTTGAAAATATTTGAACTATTACAAAAACTTTAACATAAATTCTAAGTCGAAAAAGGGGCATAATTCTGTCAAAATGCTTGATAGAGTTACCTCCTCCTGTCTACAGGTTGGGGTCATGATGGTGAACAAGTGTGCAAAGTTTCAAAGCCATATGTCAATGGACTTTGAAAATATTTGAACTATTACAAAAACTTTAACATAAATTCTAAGTCGAAAAAGGGGCATAATTCTGTCAAAATGC